CTTGACGTGTGACTTTTGGAGGAAGTCTCGTACGAAACGCTCGTTTTTGAGACTTGACGCGTGACTTTTGGAGGAAGTCTCGTACGAAACGCTCGTCTTGCAGCCTCGCAGCGTGACTTTTGGAGGAAGTCTCGTACGAAGAGTGTGCCCTACAGGAGTGTCCCACAAGAGTGTCCTACAAGAGTGTCCCACAAGAGTGTCCTACAAGACCATCCCACAAGAGTTTCCTACAAGAGTGTCCCACAAGAGTGTCCGACAAGAGTGTCCCACAAGAGTGTCCCGTATGAGTGTCCCACAAGAGTGTCCCGCAACAGTGTCCCACAAGAGTGTCCCACAAGAGTGTCCCGCATGTCCCACAAGAGTGTCCTACAAGAGTGTCCCGCAAGAGTGTCCCGTATGAGTGTCCCACAAGAGTGTCCCACAAGAGCGTCCCACAAGTGTGTCGCACAAGAGTGTCCGACAAGAGTGTCCCATAAGAGCGACCCACAAGAGTGTCCTACAAGAGTGTGCGACAAGAGTGTCCCGTAAGAGTGTCCCACAAGAGTGTCCTACAAGAGTGTCCCACAAGAGTGTCCTACAAGAGTGCCCCGTAAAAGTGTCTCACAAGAGTGTCCCACAAGAGTGTCCCGCAACCGTGTCCCACAAGAGTGTCTCACAAGGAGTTAAGAGTGTCCCACAAGAGTGTCCTTTAAGAGTGTCCCACAAGAGTGCCCCACAAGAGTGCCCTACAAGAGTGCCCCACAAGAGTGTCCTACAAGAGTGTCCCACAAGAGTGTCCTACAAGAGTATCCCACAAGAGATTCCTACAAGAGTGTCCTATAAGACTGTCCCACAAGAGTGTCCCACAAGAGTGTCCTACAAGAGTGTCCCACAAGAGTGTCCCGCAAGAGTGTCCCAAATGAGTGTCCCACAGGAGTGTCCCACAAGAGTCTCCCGCAACAGTGTCCCGCAAGAGTGTCTCACAAGAGTGGAGTGTCCCACAAGAGTGTCCCGCAAGAGTGTCCCAAATGAGTGTCCCACAGGAGTGTCCCACAAGAGTGTCCCGCAACAGTGTCCCACAAGAGTGTCTCACAAGAGTGTCCCTTAAGAGTGTCCCACAAGAGTGTCCCGCAACAATGTCCCACAAGAGTGTCCCACAAGAGTGTCCCACAGGAGTTTCCTACAAGAGTGTCCCACAAGAGTGTCCCACAAGAGTATCCCACAAGAGTGTCCCACAAGAGTGTCCCACAAGAGTGTGCTGCAAGAGTGTCCCACAAGAGTGTCCCACAAGAGTGTGCTGCAAGAGTGTCCCACAAGAGTGTCCCACAGGAGTGTCCCACAAGAGTGTCCCACAAGAGTGTCCTACTAGAGTGTCCCACAAGAGTGTCCCACAAGGGTGTCCCACAAGAGTTTCCTACTAGAGTGTCCCACAAGAGTGTCCCACAAGAGTGTCCCGCAAGAGTGTCCCAAATGAGTGTCCCACAGGAGTGTCCAACAAGAGTCTCCCGCAACAGTGTCCCGCAAGAGTGCCTCACAAGAGTGGAGTGTCCCACAAGAGTGTCCCACAAGAGTGTCCCACAAGAGTGTGCTGCAAGAGTGTCCCACAAGAGTGTCCCACAAGAGAGTCCCACAAGAGTGTCCCAAATGAGTGTCCCACAGGAGTGTCCCACAAGAGTGTCCTACTAGAGTGTCCCACAAGAGTGTCCCACAAGAGTGTCCCACAAGAGTGTCCTACTAGAGTGTCCCACAAGAGTGTCCCACAATAGTGTCCCACAGCAGTGTCCCACAAGAGTGTCCCACAAGAGTTTCCTACAAGAGTGTCCCACAAGAGTGTCCCACAAGAGTGCCCTACAAGAGTGTCCCACAAGAGTGTCTTTTGGACATATGTAGCTTTTCGAACGTGTTTGCATTCGGGTTCGTGGGCTCCATCTTGTTTTTCCCTTTTTCAGACTTGGCTGGCTCCTTTGTTTAGATCCACTTACTTAATTAAGCTCCACCTACTTAATTAAGCTGGGATCCTTTCCTGGTGTGTTACCTGTTTGCGTTCGACCCACACCGGAGTTCAGCGTGATTCGATCATTCTGTAGCATTAGGATTCACTAGGTGACGCTCTCCGAGGCCTGTGCGGTCTCATGACCTGTGAGGGATCGAAGGGATTGGGTTATGGCCCCGGCCCCGCTGCAAAATGTCAGGCTCACCTTGCCTGGAACCTTGTTGAAGTCGCCCAAACTACGCCTCTTGCCATGGATTGAACTCGCCGGTTCCCAGGACCTGCTTCAGAGCGGGTGGGGCAGGACCTGCTTGGCTGGCCAAGTCGCCAGGCAATTGGCAACGGCTTCGTGAGGTGAAACCATTGTTGGTTGAGCATGATTTGTACTCCACATTGGGTTGGGCGTGCACCTGTACATGTCACCAGACGGGGGAGGTTTCGAAATGGGCACCAACGGTGGGACCAAGAATGAGTCCAGGTCGTTGTCCTGGAAGACGGATTTGGATGGATTTGGGAGGATTCGGAGGGGAGCATGAGTAATTTCTGGGCATGTTTCTGCTTCAGAACCCAAGTCATCCAAGTCTAGCAGTCAAGTCCGTCTAAGGCAAGTCCGTCTAAGGCCAAAGCCCCGCCCTGATGGAGCCAGAGCGTTTGGCCGCACCAGGCTGGGAGTTGGAAGAGGATGGAAGGAGCATGATTATCATCACATGCCACCATGTGCCGATGTGTGGAAGAAAGGACTTGCATGGAAACCTGGGCCAGGTTATTGGAAAGGGATTTGGCTTTTGAATCTTGAAATCCTGATTGATGTGGTTGTTTGTTCTCTGAAAAAGGGTTTTGTTTGTTTGTTTGTTTGTTTGTTATGTTTGCACCTTTGCTTGAGCCAATGGTTCCTTTTTGGGCAGACACTCTGAAAAATCACCGTTGAAATGCCCTTGAGTTCGCTTGTAAAAATGACCGTGTTTCTCTCTCAAATTGGCATTAACACTTCAGAATGCTGCATGAGAATACATGGTCCCTGGTTCGGCCAGCAACCACGACCCGGCCACCCCAGGCGATGGAGCTGAAGAGCCTCCTCCCGACGTTTCGGAAGGTTGCTTGGACCGAGGGTCGCGACGAACGCCACCCGAGGAAGGTGAAAAAGAGATCCACCGTGCTGAAGGTATGTGGTGGATTTTTGATAAGTCTTAATGGACTTCAGTGTAGCAACAGCGCGTTTCCATTAACGATGTCTATATGTTCTTGAAGTCGGCCTTGCCCGTTTTGTGAACTGTGTGGAATTCCCCACTGTACAGCTTGAGGACGCCGAGCTTTAGGTACCACATGTGTCCACATGTGTCGCCAGGTCAGAAGGAGATCCAGCGCCTACAAGAGGAGTGCTGTGTCAGATGGGAGGGGGTGATCCTTTTTGAAACAAACAGGGCAGCCACATGGAGGGGAGCCGATCAGCTCAGCTAGCGGATCTTCCTTTCCTGGGAAGAACGTCATTCCATGTGAACATGAGTCAAGGTTGATGTTTCCCTACTGTAGATGTGATGGGAGGGCCGGCCTGACAGACAGATGTTGTTTTCCAACCATGGCAGGCCATCCATGGCAGCCAGAGGGTTCGGCCACATGCCCCGACCAACGTCCCATTGGAAATCACCTGAACCGACAGGGATTGGACGGACGCTGCAGGCCATTTTCACGGCGGCACGTGCCGGACTTCAGAGAACTTGTTTAAGATTGTCTCACAGTGTTTCCACACACGTGAATTTGTTTGGTAAGAGGAGGGACACCTTTGAATAGTAAGAAGTCATCATTGGGCACAACATTGATTAAACTTGAAGAAACACATTCAAAACTATTGGACTTTTCTGTGAGGCTTGCAGGCGAACCCATGTTGTCAACATGAAGGTGCATAGCCCGGGCGGCGCCGCGTTGTCGTACATCCATTGCGGCCCAGTTCGTCGAGGAGCTGCGACTTCGATCGGCCGAAGCGGAGCAGTACAGGGCGAGCTTCAAAAAGAAGAGTGAGGAATATGAAGGGTGCAAGGCTACTGGGCTTTGATTAGTCCAGCTCGCGAGGTCCTGGTCGCAAATGTTTTTTTGGGGCAGCTATAGGCAGCTGGATGTGTGATTGTTTGGTATTAGTTTGTGAGTGCTTTGGTGGTGGGTTATGATGTTTCACATCCCAGTGTTTTCATCCAATAAATAACTTGGCGCAAGGAGTTCCGTACAAGTCGACTAAGAAATGACACAAGTCTTCGGGGCAACAAGTCGTGCACGCGGCCATTTGTGGCGACGTGGTTTTCCGCTTTGGGTCCAAAACGGTCTTCAGACTATGCAGGCTATGGATGACTATGCTCCTATGTGCAGACTAGGCAGAATTTCATGCAGAAGGGGGCTTTTTGGATCGGTATGCTCCTGTGGAGGACCTAGAATCAACTGACCTACCCTCCCTTTCCCCCCCTGCAAGCATTGGAATTGGAACACTTAAGGTGAGACTTCCAGTGTCGCTCCACGACCCGGCCCCAAAACACCGAGCCGGCCGAGCTGAGCCCAGGTCCTGTTAGACGTGGCCCAAGCCGAGTCGGGCAACCCAGTGAGGCTGGCAGAGATCGGTGTGGGCAGCCCTGGCCGCTTTTGCACCGTTTGCCAAGAAAATGGACCCAAAATCAAAATCAAACAAGTGCACCACCCTAACAAGGGGATTCTTGGACAAGCGGTTAGGGGAATGTGGAGAGAAACCCGGCCCAACAAAGTGGACACAGATCGTACTCCCGGGTGGACCGTTTTTCATTCATTGTGTGTGTTGAATCCCTTGGTGAAAGCATGGCCTGGAAACCTGAATTTGTGAGATACTCATTATATAGTTCCATATTTTTCTGGATGATGTTGCTAAAAGATTCTGGTCAATTGCCCGCGGCAGAGCTGGTGCAGAGTTGCTTTTCTCAGTTCGCTACTCAGTATCACTCAGTCGCTCAGGTTGCATCTTTGCCAAGAGCGTCTTCACAAGCAGTCCCCAGCACCACCGATGCTCAAGCAGCGCCGTCTGAAGGGTGTCGGGATCTATGCCAGCGAGCGGGAGACTGGGGGCGTGGGTGGGGTGTGGGTGGAAGGCACAAACGCGGGACGGAGCAACTCTAACAACAAATAACTGGCCCTGCGGCCCTTTATAGATGTTCCATTCCATTTGGAACCCAATGATTTCCTGTGTTTTGTGCTGTTCTTCCTGCAACAGATCTGCAGATGATCATCCAACAATCATTGGTTTGCAGCTGATAGCAGCTACTCTTTGCCGGGTCGCGTGCTACAGGAGGTGGCTGAGGAAGTTGCCGCTTGGTCGGTGTCTTTGACCCTGACCCGGGTCATGCGAGCCATACAGGCGTGGGGAGACCGTGTGTGTGCCGAACTCGTGGGAGGTCGAGCCCTTCGTCCGCACGAAGAGGTTTCTTTGACAAGAGGAGCTGCTCAGCGAAGAAACATAGTACACATAGTTTGCCTGGAGGTTTGGTCGGCACCCTGGAAGACTAGAACACTGAAGGCAACTTGCCGGCCTTTGCTGTAATTGATTACATTGGATTACTATTGTTGCTACATTTTGCTACATGATACATGCCAAAACAAAATACTATTGCCAGGCCTTGCCCCAATACCAGCAACAGTCGGTCAACGATGATCATGTTTTTGGATCAAGGCCTTTGCTAACCATCATGTCCACTGTTACTGGTAATGGGATATACCGATATACCACATGATATACCGATATACCCACTAATTGAGATTAATTGAGCAATCCGGAACCCACCTGTAGTCCAAACGCGCGTAGCGCCAGAAGGGGGCATGACCCGGTCTTGTTGAACAGTTCTTGTGTTTTCAGGTCCCAGATTGACTTAGACCTGGGCAGACTCTGCGAGACGTCGACTAGGCCCAACGAGGAGAAGAGGAGGAGTTAAAGACTGCGGAAGGTTTGGCCGAGAACCTCAGTTCTGAGCCAGGTACGGCTGTTATAGCAGTGAGTCAAAACGGTTGTTGACGTATTTCACGTTTGGCATGAAGGCACTTTAAATCTACTGCATGTGTTTTCTGTTTTCTACATTGACGTTCAGATGCGGTATGGTGCGGTCTCTGCAGAAAGCGCACCATGACAATCGATCTGCCGTTTGCCTATATTTACTATTAAGAGTTTTGTTTAGTCCTTCTGAAACTACCAGACCTCCACGTCATCCGTGGTGGTTCCACCTTACATGGATTGCCCATTTACCGTGGGTGGTTCGACCGAGGCCATCAAGGTGAAGCGACAGCAGGAACTCCTGAGGGCTTCAGAGGCCGACGTGGAAACGGCGTAAGTTGATGTGGGATGAAGAACCCAGGAAGAGGCGATATATACAATGCTTTTAAGAGTACATGACACAATCTCCAAAAGGTGGTTTTAGAGTACCCACCATGTAAAAGACATCTCTGGGTTTGTGCCATTCTACTCTGAAACCACTGTACAGATAATGTTACAAAGACAGGATTCTGGATGTTTGTCTCTCAACAATGGCCCAATAGGTCTTGACCGATCCCAAGTGTGGTGGTACTTTGGAAGCACATGGAATCACTAGTTCACTAGTGGCCTTGCAGTGGGGACCATGAAAACAACATTGACATGTTTTACGGCAAGCCTTGAACCGTCTCGAAACAAGTGGAACTTTGCTGCATTGGAAGCTACTGTACGATCCATGACCTGATGAGCAATCTGTAGCCGACATCACCTTCAAGCAAGCTTACTGGACCACTCGATTGGGAGAGGCATGTCTATATAGAGTCACTGACAGTCAGTGCCTCTTAATGCACTCATTGATCACGGTGGTCCTGCATTCAGTCCTGCTGTCGGCCATGTGTGGGTGGAGGGTGTACGGTGTAAGGTGTTGGGAGTTGGGGGCAATTACGTGTGTGCGTGCAGCTCACAATGTCTTGTGCTCCGTGGGCATACGTGTTCATTTCACCATAGATGATATTGTTCACGTGCACAAGCGTTGTGACGTGTTTACATGTTGTTTAAAAAGTAGGTCTTCTACGGACTGTTCGGTCGGTTGCTTTCAAAGTTAATTCATTTGTTCGTTCCGCAGCCATGTAAACCATATGGAAGCCTAGCTTAGAGCGGCTGCTAGTGTAGCCTTTGTTCCGTTGCTTCGGTTAGGCGGTTTTGAGGGTGTGTGTGTGGGGGGGTTAGCCTTCTCCCTTCAACGGTGATTTCAGGTGCACCCCAGTGATTTGGATTCGTTGCTGCATGAATAAGCACAGAAACACTTCCAACATTTGAGGCCTTTTTCATCCTTTTTTCATGACATGATCTCCCTGTTTCTGCAAAACCAGAGAGAATAACCACCGAAACTGAATCCCAGTGGAGTTGCGATGATTTGGAGATACTTGCTAACTAGAAATGCTTAACGAAAGACTTTGATTTCGAGGTTCTGAGCACATTGAGACGAAATGAAACATGGCAGCAGCCACACGCGCTTGCACCCGAGCCAGGATCTTTGATTACTATTTCTCACTCACATTACATGTGATGCCGTGTAAAGTTTCCTGGCTGGTGGCATTCGTTCACTTTTTGCGCCATGGCACTTGCTCCCATTGCCAGCGATTCACCCCTCGGCAGGGCAACCACATACCATACTGTCCCCGTCGCCCGCCCCTTGCATTTCCCAAGCAGAACACTAAGGCAATTAGTGATGGCCTCCACCTAGTAGCGTCCTTGTTCCTCAAAGTCTATTTTTCTTAAGTCGTTTTTCTAAATCGTTCTCATCACGGGATTAGACCATGCAAATGTGGATCTCACTCGTTATGACCTCGAGGTAGGCGGCCGCAGGCCTTCTAACCAACACGTCTCACCGGCCAGACACGCGTCTCCCTTAATTGCTCGCGCGGGCTGAGGCGTCAACCAGCATCAAAGCTGTTGCCGCATCCTCCTGACCCACAACCAGAACAACACCAAAGCAATCAGAACATGCCAGAACCAGAGTTCCACTTTCAACAGTATCAAGCTGGGACTCAGACTTATAGGGCTACCAATTGTACAATGCCCAATCCTCCCGACTCGCGCTGGCTCGAAACCAATCCCCCCCGGAACCCGCCCCAAAGTGGGCCAAAGCCACAGAGTCGGTCGTGCCAGACCTGAAGTTCCCCGTCCTCCCCCCTTGCAGACTTCCAGAAGTTTCACCTGAGTGCCCAAGCCTGAGCGTCCCTTCCAACACCTCGCATCGGATGTCTACATGTCTCCCCAGACACTCAGCTACTTTCCATTAAGGCAAGCAACGTCTACCTCGTGTGGCTTAGGGTGGACTTTCCCTATTAGTTTTGTAACTTGTCAAGTGGCACAGGCCTGAAAACCAGCTGCAAGAAGAGGTCTCATATACACCATTTTGGATGGACATGCAAGATGCAGTGCCTGCGGCCTGCGGCGGAGGTAGGTTATGACTGGTTTGGCCACCTGTGCTCACACAAGGTGAAGATTAGAAGGCTCGAAGAGAGGTGCCAACGACAACAGGCCGATGCCCCTGCTGCGATGCAGTCGCTTCGTGTGGTTGAAGGTGTAGTGGTACAACACATCATTTGCTAGCGGTTTTATGTTCTAGGGTCCAGGGTAACAAAATCGAATCAACATCCCGCACAAGACAGGCATAGGGCGAGTAGAAATAGCGAGTAGAAATAGACGATCAATAAAAAGGGCTATTTCTCATGTTTTGTTGGTTCATCATCTACACTTACTTTGTCGTCGCCCCCCTTTGCTCTTTGCCTAGTATACAGTATATTATATATATATATTTAGTTATATATATATATATATGTTCATGTCGTTCTGAAACCTGTGGTGCAAAGTTCACATATCCTCGCCTGATATTATGTGGTCTCATTCTGTTTGTGTTTGGCCGATTCTGTTCCCTTCTTTAACCTCATTGTGGGTTCTCAACGCGTTTCACCAACAATACATGCATATACATAAATTTAGTTGCTTTGAATCTTGCAGGTGTTTGTTTCATTTGTTCCCATGATTGATGTGTATTCATCCCACCAGGCCCGACCCACCAACAACACAAACAAGATCACGTTGCAGCGGCTTCAGGAAAACTTTCGATCCCAGTTGGCTGCAGCCCAAGCGGAGAATGATGAGGAAGTGGAGGTTGGGACTGTTTTTAGAACTCCAAGGAATTCCAAGCTGTGATTGGGATGGAGATCGATGGAGATTGAATGGCACTCATTGGGCAAATTGGGCAGATATTTGTTTGTACACCGAGCTTGGCCGCTGAGAAACTGCTCCTGGCATTGGGTGGTGTGCTCGCCTTTAGCTAACGGCTAAACTCTTGAGAGGGCGATGGAGAAGAAGAAGAATTGGTGTCAGGAATCAGGAATAGTGGGAGTCCCTCCCTCCCAGAGCCGCAATTCCACAGAGGCCACGCATTCAGACCAGGCAGCCAATGCCCAGCTGAAAGAGCTCGAGCAAGAGCGGGTGAGGGCCGAGGCCTGGGGGAAGGCGTTCCTAGTCGTCCATTGGGACGTCCGAGTCGACCAGTTGGTATTGATCCCATCTTCATGAGGGAATTTTCAATGGCTTCGAAAGGGGTTCAGATGGACCTAAGACAGAGCTTCTCTCCAGATGCTGTGATTTTGCTGCTGAACGGTGGCTCTCCTTCTCTCCGGGTCCGCCAGAAGCACTTCCGGTCACGGCTGGCTGCGGCGGACTCCGAGAACGACGCGGAAGTTCAGGCAGCCGAGTCGGGGAGTCCCGTGAAGTTGAATAGGTCCGATGCCCATGGAAGACCGAGAACAAAACCCATGGAAGAGTGCTGGGAGGCTTCTTGGTGAAACCCCCGGTCAAGCTCCCCTTTTTGGGGGAAACTCCGAGTCTGCCGACGAAGCAACTCAGAGCCTACAAAGTATGATACATGTTGCATGGTTTTCACAAGCCTTGGGGTCCATCGTGTGATGCGTTTGATTCAACTCCAACCTGGACAGGCTGCCAATGCCAAGATGATGGAGCTTGAGCGAGAGCGAATCAGAGCAGAGGACCGGAGATCAAACTCCAACCTGGTCATGACCTCTGATTTTGAACCACATTGCACCACCCAAAATAGGGGTCTTTTCCTCTCAAAACAGAGGGTCATGTTTGGGTTCCACATATGTAAGAGTGATTTCAACGTGTACAATCATCACAACTGATGAATGTTTTTAGAGTGTACTATTCTTATGCCGGAGATGCTCCATGATAGGAACGATCGGGGAACCTGTCCAATGTAGTGGCCACACAGAAGACTTGCTCACCGAACGTCATAGAAGATATGATATGTTATCAAGATTTATCCAGGGTTTTGCAGCTTGAGGCCTGTAGTCTATACAAGTGTCAAAGATGTAGGAAAAGCATGGAACAGCGACTTTGAAGCCTTCGCAGGCAAAGATCAAGTCCGTGAAAGAGAAAGACTTGCGGCAACAGGTGGGGTGGTTATAGTACTAGTGGAAGGCTGGTTTATTGCCAGATCATTTTTTGGGGTGTTCAGCACGTGGTGCCGTTTGCAATGACAATCTGATGGCACTAGCAGGCGGATAACGTCAGACACCTTCAAGACAAGTTATCAGTTTTGGCTTGCAGATGTGCTGCATTGTGCTGCTGATTTTACATGTTGATACATGTTGATGCTTCCAAGTTGAATTGGTCAAGACTATCGAATGGTTGAGTTCAACAGTCGCTTTACACATCGGCTTCCAGGAGAACTTCCGATCGCAGCTGGCTGCAGCCCATGCAGAGAATGATGAGGAAGTCGAGGTGAGACGGCCGGCAGCTCTCAAGGGCACTTGCAGCTCTCATGGGCACTGGCTAAGCCGGGGCCATGAACAAGTTGACCAATCTGTGTGGCCCTTCAAGTGTTTTCTCAGCTGCCTTCCAAAACACTTGGGATCGAAAAACATCCGAGCTTGAACCCATGTGGCGCGGATGAATCTCGAACAAGAGTCCTTAGCGGAAGAGTGTGTGAGTTGTTGGACAGTTCAAGCTCCACTACCGCATACATTCAACAAGCATGGCGTGACTTCGACCAGGCGGCCAATGCCAAGATGGCGGCGCTCGAGCAGGAGCGCATCAAAGCAGAGGACTGGAGCCCGTCCAGATTTGCATGAAGCTCTCTCATAGATGGATATAGATGGTATATAAATATGGGTGTTTGCCCAATTCGTACGCTGCACACCCTGGCAGGCAAGGATCTTGTCGCTGAAAGCTAAAGAGCACCAGCAGCAGGCCAAGCAACAAAACGTTACAAGACGTGGCCATTGCTTCCAGCATCTTCCAGCGTAGTACCGTTTGAAATGCTGAGTGAGCTTTGATGGATCGACATGGACACAATAAGCGTTCCAACAGTTGAGTTTCATTCTTGCTGGCGGTGCGTTGGCCATTGCCCATTGGAGGAGAAGTTCAGGGCACAGCTGGCCGCCGCCCAATCTGAGAATGAGGAAGAACTCCAGGACAGGGGACGGACAGGTTGGGGTTGGAGGATTGACTGACCTAGAGTTGCTACAATCGTTTTGCCGCAGTTTCAAACGCACATCTGGCTCTTCAGATCCACAGGGCCGGTCAGTGCAACGATGTGTCGCATCCGCAGAGCCCAATTCCAGCTAGGAGGACATGAGTGCGACATGAGCATGCACTCATACTCATCGTTGTGACATGTTGGTGAAGAACACACATTGAGCTTCACTTGGTTTGTACGGTTTGATGGGTTTTCGAGAGTGCTGCAAGTCTTCATTTGCTTGAAGCGTGTTCTCGAAGTTCCGGTGGGGGTAAGCAGATTCATGTGCTTTGGCAAGCAGGTGTATTGTCATACGAGCTGTGCCATTGTTTGGTGTTGGATGTTGTGTGTGTGTGCGTCTTGTTTTTTTTTTTGGGGGGGGGGGCGGAGTTGTAAGATTTCACATTTGAACTTAAGTGATCCAGGCGACTACCACAAACGACCATTCTATTGTGCTTGGAGCCATCAGGATATCCCATTGTTGAACATTTTTTGAAGCAAGTCAAATACGGCCATTCAGAGGACGGCTCCTTATCGATCCTCTTTATATAACTGTGTTAGACTGCGGCTGCTTCAGGCCGCCAATGCCAAGATGGAAGAGCTTGAGCGAGAGCGAGTCAAAGCCGAGGACTGAGGGGTTCCAGCCATCGAGGGGTTCGAGATCAGCAGGTTGTTTTCGCCAATTTGAGAGCATCAGAGACGTGAGCAGAGACGAATCCCGGGAAGCCTCAAAATAATACTACAGCCATTGATTCATCGAAGAACGAGCTGCAGGAGAGCTTCAGATTGCGTCTAGCTGGTGCCCAATCTGAGAATGATGAAGAAGTGCAGGACGCTTGGTCAAACTGTCTCATTGAGTAGCTGTTCATTCCTGCCTTTGGCTAAAGGACGTGCTTTTTCCTAAAAGACCATACTGTTTCTCCTTTGCTAGCTCCAACCTCCACTGGAATGTGCGTGGTGTGCCTCGACCCTTTATTTATGCCAATCACCCGCCATGTTTCTTTGCATGCATTTGCTTTGCCAGTTTGTCAGGCGGCCAACGCCAAGATGGCAGAGCTGGAGCAAGCACGTACCAGGGCAGAGGACTGGGATTGACGGGGAATGAACCTTCTGCTCCAAAAGCACCAGAGAAAAAGCACTATGACTGTACATATATATATATATATAAATGCATAGGCAATTTGAGTGTGCTGGTGCAACCATGCGCAACCCACACCACGCTTCTCACCCATGCTCACGCCCACCATTTGCAGGCAAGGATCAAGTCGCTGAAAGCGAAAGAGCAGCAGCAACAGGCTCCAAATATTGCATTCCAAGTCCCAGGGCAACTTTTTTTCTCTTGCTTTGACCCATTCCAAATGAGATAGCAGCGCATATGTTTGTGTTTTTTTGTGTGTGAGAGGACCTTTAATCATTTTTTGCCTTGGCTGTGTGACTAAATGGCATGTTTTTTCACGCAACTCGCTTGGCAGGAGAGCTTCAAAGCACAGCTAGCAGCAGCTCAATCTGAGAATGATGAAGAACTCCAGGAGAGGGCGGGACAGCACGGGAGAATTATATTTTCGGACGATGTGGCACGGGAGTTTGTTGTCTAAGGCGAACCTACAGTAACTAAGCGGTCAATGTAATCAACTAGACTACATATGGTATGCACACATGCAAACCACATTTGATTTGCATCCTGCCAGGCAGCCAATGTCAGGATGGAAGAACTTGAGCGGGAACGAAGAAAGGCAGAGGACTGCCTTAGCCGCGATATATAGCGCAGCATACAATTAATTACCGCCTGATTCTGTTCTTGGAATGCCGTGAAGGAGAGTTTCAGGCTACAGCTAGCCGATGCCCGATCAGAGAACGATGAAGAAGTGCAGGACGCTTGGTCAAACTGTCTCATTGAGTAGCTGTTCATTCTTGCCTTTGGCTAAAGGACGCGCTTTTGCCCTAAAGACCATACTGTTTCTCCTTTGCTAGCTCGAACCTCCACTGGAATGTGCGTGGTGTGCCTCGACCCTTTATTTATGCCAATCACCCGCCATGTTTCTTTGCATGCATTTGCTTTGCCAGTTTGTCAGGCGGCCAACGCCAAGATGGCAGAGCTGGAGCAAGCACGTACCAGGGCAGAGGACTGGGATTGACGGGGAATGAACCTTCTGTTCCAAAAGCACCAGAGAAAAAGCACTATGACTGTACAATACTGTACATATATATATATAAATGCATAGGCAATTTGAGTGTGCTGGTGCAACCATGCGCGACCCACACCACGCTTCTCATCCATACTCACGTCCATCATTCGCAGGCAAGGATCAAGTCGCTGAAAGCGAAAGAGCAGCAGCAACAGGCTCCAAATATTGCATTCACTGTGGCAAGGGGCAAGTCGCAGGGCAACATGGGTAACACTGTGGTTGTTTGCACGTTTGACGATTCCATGCGGTACGGCGCGCGTGCTTTTGTTGAGATAAGTTCTTTGTTCTGCGCCGTTGTCGTGTGAATCTCACTTCAGAGCAACCAATGGGAGGAGAGCTTCAGAGTACAGCTGGCCGCAGCTCAATCTGAAAATGATGAAGAACTCCAGGACAGGGCGGTGACAGCACGGAAAATTACACTGTATGGTATGCAAAGATTATTGAGCATACAGCATACCGCCAAGATGTTTCAGTACCAGGCCGCGAATGCCAAGATGGAAGAACTTGAGCAGGAACGAATAAAGGCAGAGGACTGCATTCTCAGCGCTCACAAGTGTTTAATCGACATAGTAAAGTGCAGCTGGATTGTCTCCTTAGAATGCGATGGAGGAGAGCTTGAGGCTACAACTAGCCGAAGCCCGATCAGAGAACGATGAAGAAGTGCAGGTTGGCAGTATGAAGTGCAGTTTGATTATGTTTTTGCGTTTGCATCCATCAAGAACTGAACCTTGAGAGCGTGTTGTTTGTTTGACCCTACTTTTTGGATGCGACTGGACCGCACGTTCAATACCTTCCTGACCTGTGTTTTGTGTCCCCCTTGTCAGGCTGCCAATGCCAAGATGGCAGAACTATTGCAAGAACGCAGAAGCGCAGAGGATTGGCACCGAAACCACAAGAAAACAATGGAGAACCAAAAGCCAGACCCAGCAGAAATCGGAGTCGAGCAAATTGTTGCAGGCAAGGATCAAGTCGCTGAAAGCGAAAGAGCAGCAGCAACAGGCTCCAAATATTGCATTCCAAGTCGCAGGGCAATTTTTGTTTTCTCTTGCTTTGACCATTCCAAATGAGATAGCATATCTGTTTGTGAGAGGACCTTTAATCCTTGTTTGCCTTGGCTGTGTGACTAAATGTAATTTCTTTTCAAGCAACCAGCTTGGCAGGAGAGCTTCAAAGCACAGCTAGCAGCAGCTCAATCTGAGAATGATGAAGAACTCCAGGACAGGACAGCACAGGAGAATTGTATTTTCGGACGATGCGGCACGGGAGTTTGTTTTCTAAGGGGAACCTACAGTACTTACGCGGTCAAATGACTTTTTGGTTCGTGACTTCTCACGCCACAATTGATTCGCATCCAAGCAAAGATGTTTCAAAACCAGGCTGCAAATGCCAAGATGGAAGAACTTGAGCGGGAACGAATAAAGGCGGAGGACTGCATTCTCAGCGCTCGCAAGTGTTTAATCATTTTAAACTGAAGCTGGATTGTTTCCCTTGAATGCCGTGGAGGAGAGCTTCAGATTACGGCTAGCTGATGCCCGATCCGAGAACGATGAAGAAGTGCAGGTTCGCAGTGAAACGCAGTTTGATTGTGTGTTTGCCTGTGCATCCAGCAAGAACTGAACCTTGAGAGTGTTGTTTGTCCACGTGACTGGACCACATGTTGGAACGAGAATTATGGCTGACATTGGCTCACTTTGACATACCTCACTATAGTATGTACGTTGTTCATTTTTGTTCTTTCGTTGTGCGTCCCTTGCCTTCAGGCTGCCAATGCCAAGATGGCAGAGTTGTTGCAAGAACGCAGCAGGGCAGAGGACCGGGGGCCAAATGCTGATGGATCTTGATTGATGAATTGTCAATCATGAAGAAGATAACCAAGGTCTTCCTGAAGCAGAAATGGGGAGAAATGGGAAGAAAGCCAATCAACCCTGCACGTCTGATGCACTTTGCTGCACCCTTTGGCAGGCCAGGATCAGGTCACTGAAAGCCAAAGAGCAGCAGCAACAGGCTCGAACGGCTTGTGCAGCTGTAACTGCTCGGCTTGATGACTCTGGCAGTCGCACTTCACATTCGCCCGCTTGCTCCGCCATGGAAGGAGAACTTTAGAGCACAGCTGGCCTCGGCTCAATCTGAGAATGATGATGAACTCCAGGACAGGGGACGGACAGGTTGGGGTTGGAGGATTGACTGACCCATGGACAGAGTTGGTTCTCAAGGCTGCCAATGCGAAGATGGAAGAGCTTGAGCGGGAGCGAATCAAAGCCGAGGACAGCGTCGTCTCACGAGCTTGAGGGCGTTGTCGTATCGGCCGGATGTTGAGAGCTGGAAATATCAGACAGCACAGTATTGCAACTTAATGTCGTTGGATTGTGTGACTGACATATAATTTTGGATATTGCATGGCGCACGACAACAGAGATCGACGAAGCGCAGCTATAGAAAGCTTGGGTTCTGTGGAGGAGAGCTTCAAATCACGGCTGGCCCATGCCCAAAACAAGAACCGTGAAGAAGTGCAGGCGTGAAACGGCATGAAACACGTCAAACGATGATACCTGAGTGTCCTTGGTTTGCTGAGCCCTTGGGCTCAGGCCGACGACCGAACAGAGCACGAACTGTTCACATGTGTTTGGACCATGCTGCGCATCCCTGCAATACCGTACGGCAAGCAGTTGCCCAAACTCTAGGTGGCAATGAGGCCAAATTTGCTAAGCACATTTTAAGCAATCATCTCGGGCGACCACGCTGTCTTCATGCAAGAATGAGTTGCACATGATGAGATGATGATACCTGCCTCCCCCGAACAGTGACAGGACCATGATGGACCATGATCGCACCTGGTTCAAGTTCATATGACCAAATTGGTTTTCTGGAGTAAGTTTGTTTTTGTGTAACTGATGTCATTTGATAGGTGCAAGGGTGCTTCATTCATCTTCAGTCCAAAACCTGGGACGTGTGGGGGCTGGCTGGCCAGGCTGCCAACGCCAAGATGGCAGAACTGGAAGAAGAGCGCAGCAGGGCAGAGGACTGGGTCAAAATCATTACGGAAACGTAAGGAAACACACAAAAACAAACACAAAGTTGCCACAGCAAATTGTAAAGCCCAACAAGCTAGCTTCTAGCAGAGCTCATAGAACTGAGCTCTTTTTTATCGAGACTGTCAAGATCGTGCCATTGGTTGGATGAGTAAGTATGAAAAATGATGCATGTGGCTGCAGGCGAAGATCAGATCACTGAAAGCAAGAGATCAGCAGCAGCAGGTCTCACGATTGTTTCATCGTGCCGATTGCGGGGGAAACGTCCAGGTGGCCTGTTTGATAGAACACAACTTATAGGATTCAGGATGATATATATATACAATTATATACATAGGAATCATAGGATTGATTGACACACTTTTTGATTTGTTTTTGTGACGGTTCGCTATATGTTGGCCTGGCCTGCAGCGGCGAAGGAGCAGTTCAGAGCACAGCTGGCTGCAGCGCAATCTGAGAATGATAAAGAGCTCCAGGACAGAAGGATGTTGAATTCGCATGGCACGCGGACAATGTTCTTCACAGTCACCAAAAACATGAAGCTGGGGTAGCTTGAGCATTCAAATGTCTTGCATCGTTTTTGTATGCTGTCAACGTTGAGTCAGCATCCCTGAAGGTACGAAGTGACCATACATGTTTTCTGGCTGCTAGGATCAAGCCTTACCCCAATCGAAGCGGTGGCCAGACATTTCGCACATCCTTGCCGAACATTTTTTGCCAGGCGGCCACTGCCAAGATGGAGGAACTGGAGAGGGAACGAATCAAGGCTGAGGACTGTGGTGCTTCGGACTGCACTTGAAGCCACTTTCAACCAAACATTCAAGCAGAGCTTCAAGGTGCAGGGTAATGATAAGGCTGGTACTATATTAGAGCCATCCATCCGTCACGGCTTCACAGCACATGTCTATCCATCCCCCATGAACCATTTGGAGGAGAGCCGCCGCTCCGAGCACGACGACGTCACCCAACTGGCAGAGCTGGAGCAAGAGCGCCAAAGGGCGGAGGAGAGGGCGTTGTTTCAGAGGTTCGATGGCACTGCACCCCAAGATGTGCTGATGATTTCATGAGGGTCCATATAAACCTTCTGGGGATTGTGCTATTTACTCTCAATCCACTATAAGTAGAGCACACAACCGTAGTCATCACATCATGCACTGCCAGGCGAGAATCCGCTCCCTGAAAGCAAGAGAGCAGGAGCAGCAGGCCTGCCCAATCCTTGGAGTTGTTTTGTTTTGCTGCGGCTTGAGGCTTGAGTTGCAGATGGTTATAGAGTTAGGGGCATTTAGGGTTGTCAGCAGCAGCTGTTGATCCTTTTTCCTGCGCTATAAGACAATCTTTTAGGCATTGACTGGAGACACCTCTTTTGATGCACTTTTGTTTCTTTGGGCAGTCGGTTGTGTCACTTTGCCTGGCTGGAAGCGGAGGAGAAGTTCAGAGCACAGCTGGCCGCAGCTCAATCTGAGAATGATGAAGAACTCCAGGACAGGGCGGGACAGCGGTGTATGGAGGAGAAGATGAGACGCAGGAGTTCTGACACCAACGCCCTCCAAGTTCTGAGAATTGAATCAAATCAATGAAACCATCAATCAAACCCTGTTGAAAGATCCCCTTTGCCAGGCAGCCCATGCCAAGATAGCGGAGCTTGAGCGGGACAGACTCCAGGCTGAGGACGGCGCTTTTCGCAGTACCGGTTTCTGTGCCGCCCCCGGTGGTGTGCGGAGCGACGAATCGGAGCTGTGGGTAGGTTCCCTCCGTATAAGGGGAGCAACGGAGCAACGGTTCCCGCTTTGAAATCGGGCCCGCTTCGGCCGGGCCAGGAAGCTATCAGATTGCGGGTGGCAAAGGCTGAAGAGATGGAGGTTCACGTAGTTTTCTTTTTGATGTTTTCTTTTTTGGTCTTGGAAAGGTACCAATTCGGTGGAAACTCCCACCCGCACCAGGCCGCCAATGCCAAGATTGCAGAGTTGGAGCAAGAGCGCAGCAGAGCAAAGGTCCGGTGCTTGGCATGGAAGGAGCAAGCAAATATATATATATATATTATATATATACTGTATGGATCTGTATGGGCATCATGTTGCGTCAAGCAAGATGCTGATTGCAGCACTTCATGAATTACAGTATCTCTTGAAAGATGAACTCTCTCGCATTTTGCTTCAGTTCACGTGCCTCACGAAACGGGAAGACCGAAAGCAGCACCGCTTTCTCCATGGCCGTCCGGCCACGGAAGCAAGCCTTTGAACACGGCTGCTTTTTTCCCGGACGCGAAAATGCATGTTTGGACCTGTTTGGAGTTTGCATCCAGCAAGAGTCACAGCTGGCGCAGACTCCAAATCGCCGCGGTTCTGACTCAGGAGAAGGTCAAGTTGTTGAAGGCAAAAGAGCTGGAACAACAGGCCCGGCCAATGTTGTGATGATGGCAAGAGACGCAGATGATGTTATCAGATGTTGTCAGTCACTGCCTACTCTACTCCCAGGATAAATTCAGAGCACAGCTGGCGGCAGCTCAATCTGAGAATGATGAAGAACTGCAGGTCGGGATGCAGCAGTATGTTACTATGTTTGCAGCGGTGAGTGAAGTGCTAACAACACTGTTCCAACACCAGCATTGCCAAACCAATGGACATGGGCTAGACTCATGGGTGATAGACATCTATAGACTGACTATATGTAGAACTTCCAAATTTGGTTCAGTGGCTTGTGCTGACCAAATGCACCGACGAGAGACTGCCTGGAATACTCCTTTGGGCGCAGGCGGAGAATGCCAAGCTGGCAGAACTGGAGCAAGAGTGGCGAGTGGAGGACCGTGGTTCGCCCGGGTTCGGTCGGCAGAAAAGCGACCTTCACCCGAAGATGTTTTCGCCCCTGGGAAAAACATTGAAAAAACACAATTAAGTGTTTCCCCAGTTGCTTTTTGCATGTTTTGTTCTATATTATATGGATTTGGTCGGCAGATTTGCGTGAGATTTAAAGACACCCAAAGCGACTCAAAGGCTTGGGACACTGAGAATTCTGCGTGGTGGAGCATGTTTCATCATGACCTAGTCCTGCTTGCTTGGCATGACTAGTGCAACATGTCAGCGTGCGGCCAATTCAAGAAAACATAGGAAAATCATGTGTGTGTAATTAATGACGGCACGTGTCCGTGGAGGAGCTGACGCGGCCACGGCCCAGCATCGGGTTGAAAGGACAGCTCCCCACCATCCAGGAACACCAAGTGCACCAAGAGCCACTTGGCAACCATGGTTGCAGCAAAGTTTGTTCGTTGGGGTCAAGCAGGTGTCGTCCAATAATTTTTGAGACTGTGTGTTGATCAAGTAAGAATGCGGCACACAATCATCCATGGTTGAAGCTTTTCTTGCGATAGACGCCCCAAGGCTAGCGGCTAGGAACAAACGCATATATGTATATATATTACAAAAGCATTGTATGACATATTGAATAAGCGGTAGGAAAATGAAAAGTAGGCAATTTGTCCGCTGGTGCTGAACGGAGATAGCATTTTGGGTTGTTTTGTCCACAAGACTGGTAGGATACAGCCTCAACTCTAAAGTGTCAGGCATCCCTTTAAGACCTAATCGGGACGTTTCACCACTGTTCATAGTTCCTTTACATCGAGATAGGGTTTCCAGGGTGTTCTAGGCTCAACCTGCCCTTTTTCGATATATTCACCTCGTTTGCCCTCTCAGGTTCTTCCATTGCTCGGGACAGATTTGCATTTTCAGCTGTGAGTGTCAGGCCTTTTGTGTCATCCAGCGGCCAGATGCAACGAGACGCTGCCATGGCCGGAGGACGCCCACTTTTGTTCGGAGAACGACGCAGCCTGTCCAGCCTGGATTGTTCTTTGTGTTTTTGCATGTTGGCGCAAGTTTTGCAGACTAAACATGAGACCAACTGCTTTGCAAGTATGGTTCCTAGTGTTTAGATGCTAAGGGTTCTATCGCCGTGTGGGTCGGTCGAAAGGAGCACTCTCCGAGGCAGGGTGGACATGAAGCGCTGAATCCTGCAGTTTGTCTTATGGTGATGTTTCACTGTTTCCCTATGGTGAAGTCCCCTTCGGAATATGTTTTCCAGGTTGGAAAGCAAATCCAAGGAATGGATGTGGGGAATGCAGTGTTGGGTGCAACCCAAGACTGATGAGTGGTGTGTGCATTAACCGCCAGTGAAGATCGAATTACTGTATAAATGAATCTGCATCATGACTCAAACAGTTTGACTCGACTCGTTGTTCATCAAATTTCATTTGCAACTTCAGCGAGCTCCACCAGCATATGGCTTCAAAAGAACAAAGATATCAAAAAGTAAAGCACCCACGAATTCTCTTTTGTCAGAGTAAATCATTAAGCATTCATGTGACGTTCTCCCCTCCAAACTGATGTTGTTCTGAAGATGTCTATGAACTTATAGGTTGGACCGAGACCTGGGTCAAATAATCTTAGGTTGTGGCTTGAATCTTCCTGATTTGTTTATTGTTTTTGGTTGATGAATGGGTGGAGTTTGACCCTTGGGGCTGGGGCTTTGGAGAGAGAGCGGTGGTTTCTTTGGAGAAATGCCCTTAATCCTTGCAATGATCGCACTGGTATGTGAAACTTTGACCGTCGGACAAGAGGCTGCGCAATCGAATAGCCGCCATCCATGTGACTAAGGTAGGCCTTTGCTCCAGTCCCGGAGATGTGTAATGAGTGTAATGTGTACGAGATAGTTAAGATATGTTAAAGTTATTTATGGATTGGATAAGCTTTCTTCCAGCGATGATCACAAGACTGAAAAATATGTGCCTTTCTTCCCATCTTTCATTGGGGATGTCTCGGCCAGGCTGCTCGAAGAGAGACATGGAACGAGACTTGGCCAAGAGAAAGGAAGTCTTTGGTTCGAAGCCTTTAGTCCGAGACTTGTTGGGGCCAGATCATTCATGCAGCAGATCGGTGTCATCCAGCCTTGAGATGTGAACATTTATCCTAATAAGAGTGATACTGTAGATCGTTCTTGCTGTTGCTTTGAGTGCGCATTTGTTTTAGCATCACTGCCCATCCTTTCTGAGGTGAGCTTGAGTATGCGCGAGTTGCTCGTTCCTTCGTTCCCTACTTGTCACGTTTTGACACCAATGGTATAAAGAGCCAAATTGTTTCAATCACCCAAAGGATCAAACTATTTCGGCCAGAGTTCATGTCAGATGAGCACTACATTTAACGTGTCCGGCCCAAAGACCAATGGGAAGACTCACCTACAAAGACCTGGTCAAAGACAGCCAAACCGAGGATTCTGATCGTGCCAGTGGAACTGAATGGGACGTGCCTGAAGACAGATGGCCACTTGCCGCACGAAGATCGGGGAGAACAACCGGTTGCTCCATGCAGCCGTTCTGGAGACGCGCAAACGTAGGTATTAGGTCAGGGTGGCGAACCATTGAACAGACTTGATCTTCTTGGAGCCATTTCGGAAGCGAACCTGAATTTGCACAACCTGTCAGAAAGGCCCTCTCAGATTTTCTCAGCATTCTCCTGTCAACCTCACAGCAAGAGTTTTTGTGGAATCCGGACAGAGATATTTCAATTGCCTTGACTTGACTGCACCCCAAACAACAAGATGTAAATTATATAAGTCTCATGAATCACGCGTCCCAAAATTCATCCCAGCTAGCTGGGTATGTTGGGTTGCCCCACTTCTCCCAAGCGCTGTTTCACGCCGGAGCACGCAGGCGTGAGGAAGCGGCATCCGAGTTCATCCGAGAGGCGCCGCCTGAAAACCTCCATGGACATGTTTGGTGTCAGTGTTCGAGGGTAGGTTATGTACACATAGGTCACAGGTGTACACTATACGTACCATATATATATATATGGCACCCATCAAAAAAGTGTTCCATGGCATACCTTTTTTTGAAGCAACATGTGATGGAAGCTCGCAGATGTTTCGAACTATGTCTTCAACGCCAGGCACCATACGTACGTTTGATATGATATGCGTTTGATATAGTGTTTGATATTTATTTATAGTAATACTGTTAGTAGTACACATGCATGATTAGGGATTATGGTCAATTATAGTGTCTTTTGAAGGTGGCAAACAAAGCCATGGAGTCGCACTCCCATCCAGCTGATGTCGTTATTTGGAAGCCACAAGGGGCCAGTTCAACAGCAAGACACTGACACTTTTCCGCTTGGGTGAGCGGGCGGCTGTATTTGTTTGAGTTTCGTAGTGTTTCTTTGCGTTGACTTTCAGAGCGCATTGAAGGTTTGACACGGTCCCCCGCCAGGAAGGACTACAAGAAGACGAGGAGAGCTGGAAACGCGGTGATGAGTACATGCACAAGAGGCTTTAGAGTGGCTTTGAGTGCCGAACACTTTTGCACTCGGTTCCACCGAAAACGTACATGTGTCAAGCAACATCACAAGCATCACCATGGCTAAATCAGATCCCTTCTCGCCAACACCCTGATGAGGTCTGCACGCAAGGTTTGCTCATGTTTGCTAGGTTGGCTCCCACCAGGACCTAGATGAGGAAGCACGTCGCATCGATTCTTGGAATAAGTTTTGGTGAATTGTTTATGCCGTTTGTCGCACTGTTGGCCAGTGATGCTGAAGGTAATGGAATGTGTTGTTTCGCTTTGAGACGACTTCCTTTGTGACATGCCTTTGGGTACAACCAGGTTTGCCCATGTTGCCAGCTCTATAGTCCCTTTATCCAGTGACTACTGTAGTATACCGTAGTGTTTACCTGCCATTCACAATCAGACAAGTTCCACATGTTCACAGTCTGACACACTTTTCTCGGTCTGAACTTTCACCAGCCTAAAGTAACATGGGTAGCCCAACAGCCTAACCCACGCACAATTCGGATGCTCAAGGCCCACCAAACAAGAATTGTACTCTTTAGGAGTTGAAAAAGGTCGCTGAGGATGGTTTTGGGGTCTTTGCACTACATTCGTATGCTCCTGGACTCGCAAAAAAAGTAAAAAAGTCAGCTACCAGGCGCAGAAGGTGCAGCCTCTTCGCCGCGGTGATGCAGCCTCTCGTTCCCCTCCGCCTGATACTGGTGGCACTCCGACTCCGGTGGAGGAGTTGACTTTGCTGTGGGGGGTGACTCAGCCAGTGCTACATGCTGAACAACATGCTGTAAAGAACTGCAGGCCCAGGTCGGGATAGGGATTGAATCCTGAAGGGTAGATTATGCATACCTTTGGGTCTCCTGGTCTAGATTGTAAGACCGGCCTGATGTTTTGAGCATATGTTTATTTCCAATGAACGTTAGGGTCCTTGAACGCAAGCAAGAGCTCGAAGTGCTCCTTTGTGCGGCCCAAGCGCACTGAATTTCCCAGTGACGCAGGACGCACGGCGTGGTGAAGTTGAGCCTTCGACCACTCGTTGGACGCAAACCTCACCGTGATCTGGCCAAATGGAGCCGATTCGACCGATTGGACCCATGCGTGATGAGGGTCCCGCTACTCTCCGGTGTACCCAGCAAGAGAAACATGTAGTGCTTGTGTTGATAGACAATCAGGAAGAATAATGAAGAATCACGATTCAGAGCTTCAGTCAGATTGACTAGGCTTTGGAGCTTCTCAACCATCCTGGCAGAAACAAGGCTTGTGAAACGAGGATTGTGTATGTTAATTTTGATGTACTGTATTCAGTGGAATTATCAACTTCATTCACGATGGCCAAAACTTAATCCTCCTGGCCGCAAAGGACTGCAGAAGGCTCAGACTCTTGGCAACAAATTTGTGCAGAGTGATATGGAGTGATTGTGAAGTTGCGCACCCACACGAGTAGCATCCATGCTTTATTAACAGGATTGAATCATATGATTGAAGGTCCACTTTCCAAGTTTTTGTTCTCCAAGATTAATGCACATGACATGCTGATGTTCTGGGGTCACTCCTATTGCCCAAAGGGGTAGGTAGGGAAGGTTGCGTGTTGTTAGAGTCCTTCGTTGCTGTTCAGTGAAACGTACGTGCCAGTCTACGACGAAGGCCCATGAGGGCTTACGTCTCCACTCGCTGGGCTTCGTCTCATTCTCCCTTCTCAACCTCCCTTGGCATTGAGCATTTGGGATTCTCTCTTCCTCTCTCTCTTTAGGCTTTGACTTGGTTTACATGAAGACACTTTGACTCGGTCCCTTTTCAGTGCGTTTGGCATTTCTCAGGAGGCCAAGCCAGAAAAGGCCCTGGTCACTGCACAAGAGGAAGTTCGTGTCATGAAGCTGGTCGTGTCCTGGCCGCACAACAGTTTGCGGGAGTTCATGGACAGAGAGTTGTCAAAAGCTTCGACATTTAAACACGGTGGGGGTTACAACGGTTCTGTGGTTTCGACCCCTAACCAGAATCGAGCAAAACCTGTTCCTGGTCCCCTGGGCCCTGTGTTGATTTGCAACTGGGGTGGCCAGTTTAAGACCTGCCAACCCAATGTGGTAGCAGGAGCACTCAGTCTCCCGAACACGAGTATCGTATGGTATTTAGAGGGTGGCGTTTTTGGGGTGGAGGCAGTGTAAGAATGGACTTCGGCCTGTTTGGTCCAACGCAAGCCGGGGCAAAACCGGGGCCAGCCAGCTCTCAATCTTGCGACCGAGGTGGCGAACTCCAAGAAAGAGATTGCATATTACAACAAGGCAGCCAGAGGAGAATCGATTTGTAGAAAGTGCAAGTCTGAGAAGTGGGAGCACGAGGATGCTCGAGTAGCCCGCAGACTGGCCCAATTCCACGGCAGGTGCTCATGGAGAAGAATGCTGAACATCAGCAGGAACTTCAGGAGACACCTGCGAGGAACAGGACTACCATGGACTACCCTGGGCCGCTTGTCATGACGCATGGCTGGGCCAGAGAGTTCTTTCCTGAATTGCAGCTGGCTTTGGATCTTCTCAACTTCGTACGACCCACGACCTCGTTCTTCCTTCGACCTCGTGCCGTGCACTACGTTCAGACCGGCGGAAGCGCCAGGAGCTGCACGAGTCTTTAGAACACGAGAGGCGTCGCTGCACCGAGGCCTCCCGGCGGCACTGTCGAGCCACGGCGTCCGCACGTTGTGATGGGCCCTGTTACACCGGGCGTGTGGTGGTAGGTTGCGACCTTAGACTCCCTAGATGTCAAGTGTGCACATGTATGCACTCTGCACACTTCTAGTGGCATTCCAATAGAAGTGTGGCTGGGGGATCTACACCTCAGCATCCCAACGGTGAAGTCCCTGGGTGTCCTCCCAAACGGGTTGGTTGATTGGAATCCCATGCCGGTCCCTGTGAATCCTCACCGTCAGGACATGAAACACTGGAAGGCCCATGTGAAGAAGGACACGGACCGTCCGACGATTCCATGACGGACCGTCCGTGCTTTGTGGAGAATCATCACGACTTCTGTGAGTCCGATCACTTGAACTTGTGAGTCTCGATACGTTCGGATCGTACTTGGGAATGCTTGGAACATGAAGCGGGCATACGTTGGTTCTAAATCAAAACACCCCGGCGAGCTGCAGAGCATCGAAGGGCAGGGGCAGCTCACCGTTCGACCCCCAGGAGCTGGGGAAGGACCCCATTTTGGCGGTGGCGCTCACCATGTGGGAGCGCGAGGTGACCAGTTTGAGGACCTCCCACGTGGCTTGGAGATGAGATGCAGATAGGAAAATGAGGGTCGTTGAGGAGGCCCGTCCCAATCATTCCCAATCAATGTTTTGTAGAATTGATATGTTGAATTGAAATTCTGACCAGGGCTTCCTGAGGAAAGATTTGTGGGAAATGATTGAATTCGATGCCTGTGGAGCCTGGGCCCTGTGCCTGTAATTTTGGAATGCACACCTGCAAGACACCACATACCTCCGGCACAGTGCATCCTGTGCATAGAAACACTAAGTGTTTCTCAACTCTTGCGACAAACGATTGGGTTGGCATGCCACGGGATAACTTGATACAGTGGTTTCAGAGTAGATGGCACAGACCCCAAGATGTCCTAGACAGAAGGGGGTCCAGTCCTAAATCCTAAACCACCGACATTGGGGTTTGTGCCATTGGTCCTCTCTTTCCACTATACTGCAGCTTTTGAACCGATTGGATGTGTGGAGCACTCCCGCACTGCCTTGGCACTGCGCGACCGCACTGCGCAACCAGTGCGTTGGTGCTCCGACCGGGTGAGACCGGTGCGGGCGCGAGGCGTCACCGGTCTGAGAGGCGGAGGCGTTTCGACCACAGGTCGCTGAAACGCATGGTAAAACACCATGCGTTTCTGATCGTTTCTGGACCTCCGTGATTTTTCTGTGATGGATTGACTTGCTTTAACATGCTTTAACTTCCCTTTTGGTGCTGAGGCTTTCAAGGAGTGGAAGCGAAAGACGAACCAAATCCTCAAAGCTAGAGGAATGTCAGGCTTGGCATTTGGACATGGGGTGAGATGAGCTGAGATTGCTTTTACATGGCGGGTGGGAAGGTGGACTTCATCTTCATCTCCCTTTTGGGCTGCTGATTTGAACAGTCTTGAGGTGTTCCTGAGACATTGCCAGCCTTTCTCTCGCTTAAGGCAATGTAATAGACAAGCTCTCCCAGATTAAGCCACATTGCTAAGCACAGCTGCAATCAGCAACTCTTTATTTTGCGTTGTGATCAGCCACCTGGTTGTATTCAGTGGCCCTGATAGAAACCTGATCTCAACGGCCTTCCTGCAGGAAAGATGGCGCTTCTGGTGGCGGTCCACTGGGTTCTGAGGGATTGGCGTGTGGCGGTGATGGAGTTCCAGGCAGCGTGAACCCACGAACCCAGCGCGAGGAACACCGCACGTTCCGGGCACAAGGGCGAACACCACACAGGGTTTATGTGTTTTTTGTTCAGACTTTGAATCATGGGTGGGTTGCTGTTGCATCATGATCTTAGCTTGTTGCTGTTTGGTGAAGTTAAGTTGCCCTACAGTCACCAACAGATCCCCCAGAGATTCTCAACCGAATGGCGGGGTCCCCACGTGACGCTCGGCCTAGGCCGAGCGGATGAAGGAGAAGCTTCATCTCAGATGGTTCAGCTCCTTAGAGCAGGTGCGGAATTTCCCGGTCCGACGTGGGCGACCTCTCGATGTGGTTGAGGGGGTTGTCTTTAATCACATGACATGACATGCACCCTTTAAAAACATGTGCGGCATGGTTCTAGCTGATGCTTTATAAACCGCAGTGGTGATGTTGGTGACATGCCGCAGTGATGCTTTTGGTGGTTAGACATTTGCATGAATTCACGTGGAACACAGCAACGAACTGAGAGACCCATCTCCCATAATTCAGGGTGTCAAGATGTGTTAAGATGTGTTAAGTATATATGTCGCGCTATGTTATGTGTTTAACTTTGGTTGGTCTGGTTGCTGACACCTGTCAGGCCTCCCATGCTTGGGGTCGCGAAACAGACCGTGGATGCTTGGATGCGAAACAGCCGAGGTCGGGTTGGGAGGATGGCCGAGACGAGGCACTTGGCACTTGGCGCAGATGTCCGTTTTGATTTAAAGACTACATGGTAAATGCAGGGAGAATGACTCCCCACTTAACTCGACCACGAGTAGGTACCCCAACCACTCCCTTACTTACTGGACTGAAAAAAACACTGTGGCTGAGGGCTTAAGCATTGGGTCTTCGTTGGGTGGACCTGGCAGAAGAAGTTTTCCGTGTGGGAAAGGCCTGGACCGTCGAGCGAACGGATGTGTGCGCTGTGAGCTGTGAGTGGGTGAGGTCACCATGGTCGCCTCTCCTGAAGCAATAGCTACCAGTAGCTTTTTAATAGACATGCACTTGTTACTAGTAGTGTCCTTGCTACTACTAGCGATCCACCTTGTTAATGGTCGCTTCTTGTTACTAATTGCTATACAGTTCCAGTGATCAGCTGTGCACGTAATTCAACTGCTACAGTGGTTATCACAGGTTCTGTTCTGTGATCGGCTTGCGAGGGGGTGGAGATCAGCAGGTTCCACCCGATCCGAGAGGTGGAAGACGGGACTCGGGACCCTTTTTTCTACACAGGACCAGTCAGTGCTTCGTCCATTGGGAATACGGGAGCATGACATGAATAAAGCCGCGCAACACAGTGTTGCAGCACATACTGCAGCCTGCCAGCAGTACTTCGGTCACTCAATGGGTCAAAGGTCGACGCATGTTCAGGTGGTCAGAAGGTGACCCGGTCGTGTTTTTGAGCTGAGGACTTACACTTTGCATCACTTTGCATATTCCATGGAAGTGGGCATGTTCTTTGTGACCAAGTTTTCTCTAGAAACAGGGGGGATTGCCACGGGGTGCCAATTGCTTCCATGTTTGTTTTCTTCGCGAGACACGTGTGTGCGGCCTGGAGCGTGGAGGCGAACGAATGAGAAGGTGCAGTTCACACTGCGGAGCCATGGCGGCAAGAAAAAACCGAGCCCTGCCGGAGCCCCGTGGAGCCCCCATGTTGTGCGACATGAGGCAGTAGTCTTAGAGGAGGATAGAGGAAGTACTGCACATGGTGATGATCTGCACATGGTCATGTCTCGATATGTCTGCTAAAAATCCCGTGAACACCGGGGCAAAGATGAGCAAACATCGGCGGACACATGCCGTAAGAGAACGTCAACAGAGCCGCAAGACACTGCGGTTGAGGAGATGGTTCTATGCCTTGGACACTGCATTGCGGTACTACGCATTCTTGGCATGGTATGAGGCATTGATGGAGGCTCCTCAGTTTGTAAGCTCAGCATCCAACTTGGCTAGTGGACGTTTGTTTGGCAGCTGATCCTGTGGCACTGCAGCATGCGCTTTGTTCTGGGGAGGGGAGGAATTAGCCCGATCAAGGGCTTGAAGAATTGGTGGCTCCAAAATGCGTTCGAATCAGACGCACTGAGTACAGCACCAAATAAGGCCATAACAAGAACCAAGTCATCTCCGAGGCGAAGTTGCAAAGCTTCCAGATGCAGGTGGCTGGAAAGAAGAGCGCCTTCTTGAAGGCGATGGGGGTGGCGGGACATGAGGAACCGAGGAGACCATGAGTTTTGATCGTTACCAGTAGGTAGACAAGGCAGTGGGAAGACTGGGCAGGACCATTTCGATCTTAAAGAGCTGGTGCGGTCGAAGGAGGAGCTTGTTGGAAGAGGCAATTAATTGTGACATCTTGGGGAGGCCTGAAGCCTCAGCATTCACTCTGTTGCGCTCGAGCTATTGTCATCCTTTGGGTTTATTTCCATGTTTTTGTGGAGTTTCGGAGCAAGGTTTGACGCCAAACACCTTCGAAGGCTGATGGACATGGATGTGCTATGAACCTCACAGAGGACCTCACAATTGACACAATTTGGGCGAAGTAGGCAGCTGTTCAACAGGACAAGAGGCTCAGTGCCACACCTGAAGTGGGTTTAACACCATGTTTCACTCTGCTGAGTACAGCACAAATTTGCACGATCATAATGATCAGCGGTGATCAGCGCATCTATATACAGTATATATATATATTGTTTATTTATGTTTTATCATATCACATCCTTTCATTGCAAAAGGCATTGGCTTGTTGCAACGCGAGCCCCCCAGTAGTGTGGATAAAGCACAATGCCGTCAAGCTATATACAAGTTTCGTGCCCAATCATGCCATTGTTTGTCCACAGGTGTGCATACTGACGCTTACAGTCGTTTCAGAGTAGATGGCACAAACCGCCAGAAACCCCAAGATGTCCTTTAAGATCGGGATCCACATAAACCATCAAAGTTGGGGGCCCAGACGTGCCATCCACTCTGAAACCACTGTAAATCCAATGGGAGATGATGGCCCGTCCGGTGCTGCATGTGCAGCCAGGCCATCCTGGCTTTACAGCCCTCGATGACTTCCCTGACCAGCCGCGCCATTTTCTATGCCTGGCGATGGATGATCGGAGACACCCAGGCGCGCAGACACCCATACCAGTTACCATCAATGAATGATGTGGCAAGCTTCTAGAACATGCAGGAAAATGACAGTGCTCAAGGACAGAGCATTTGGAGTTGAGTTGGAGGCACTCATGGACAGTGTTTGAGTCAAGCGCCAAGGACCTGTGTAGAACAGTGTAGAATATGTTATAGAATGCCCAGTGTTGGTCTATTTGCACAACACATTGCGCAACAATTCGCGACTTTCCCTTTTGCGTACTGAATACCAATTGCCATGCTGCGGACAAGGCCTGTGTTCCCACTCATGCTTTCCCACTCACGAAAACGAAACGGTATCCCAGATTCATGAGTCAACTGACGATCCGTCGCGATGACAGAGCAACACAGGTCACCGCTTTCTCCAGAGCCTTGGCTAAGCTTCTGAGCGGGGAAGGGGAGAGGGGAGAGAGAGAGAGGGAGATGGTTCAGAAGCATTCTGAAGGCTCAACCTCAAATATTGAGGCATTGATTAAATATATGATAGATTACGCCCGCGGACATCAAAGTCCACACGAAACGGTGACTTTGAGGACTTGAAAACCCACGGGAACTATATATATATAGAGAGAGAGAGAGCAAAGTGTATAACAATTACCAATTTTAGATAGCGTCTCAACCCGGACCTTCCGCTACGGGCGATGCGCCGAATCGCCTGAGATGCGCTGCGGCAAACGCGGCGCCGGTCCAACCAGCTGGAGACAGCGGTGATATTTTTGGCCTCTGAGTCTGGGCGGTGACACCGTCGAAAACGGTGAGCGGTGAGAGGCGTTTCAACGGTGTGACGGGCCGTGACTGGCGATAAGTTGTGTTAAATTGGAGTGAATTGGAATTGTTTTGTGGACAAATCTGAAATATGAGCATGAAATAACATAATCACACTCTGTTTGGGATTCTCAAAAGACAGGCCATTGACCACGGAGTTGATTTAACAAATTACCTGTTGTTTTGTTTTTAGTTTAATCCCTTCCACCGTCCACCATTAAAGTTTATTAAAGTTCACGACGCCCCCCAATAAAAAGCCCCGGTGGCGGGGGTCCCCAAAATGGGGACACGCAAAGATGGAAACCTGGGAAGAGCTTCAAGACCAAAAAGTTGCCTAGGAAAGTTTTATATAGAATCCTAATTAAACTCGTATCCAAAATTGAAAAAACTCCAGATCGAAGGGTTGTCCTTTTCCCTTTGCAGAAGCCCTTTATTAAAATAGTGATAATTAGACAACTAGACTATCAACTACAGCTTTCGAAGGATGATGTCGTTGTGCCATGCGGTTTTGCGCGGCCTCAATGGAAAGTGCGTTTGCGTGAGTCCGTGCCATTAGGGGAAGGAAAGATGCTGGTGTAAACGCGGCGCGTGACGGTGGACAGATAGGGTGGACAGAGGTGGACAGTTATGGTTGGTTGGGAACCTAGTTCAAAAACAAATCACCTAAAGTCGACCATGTTGGTAGTTCAGTAGCGGCTTGAAAGGGCGGCAAATTATAAGTTGATACAAGCACCTTTTTTTGGGTTTCCAACATGGCGTTTTTTAGTTTCAGGTACTCGGGGTTTGTCCTGTTCCAGGATGTGCCTACACTTTTGTGAGCGACTTTGGCTTCTTCATTGCTTCAAGCAGTCAAACTTACCAGCACAAGTTTTGAGAAGTCGGGTTGGTGTGCTGGTGCTTTTGCGGGGAAGCTTGCTCAATTGCAATACTTGTTCAGGAAAATGCTATGCACCAACTCCATAAGTGTCCAATACCTCACTTAACTTCTATTGTGCAAGTTGCCTCCATGAGAATTCTTGCAGCAAAAAGACTCAGCACACAGGTGCTGCAGTGCACTTGGTCAAATTACGATTGTGAACTCAGACGGAAACCTCTACAGAATGCTCAAGGAAATTGCTCAAACAGTCCGGAGAAAGCCAAGTAGGAAACCAGTGATTGTTCATTCACCTGGAACTTGGAAAACCATCAGGTGAATCGACAATTGTTTGGGAACAGTTTATGTTTCGGAGGGTTTGGCTTTGTGTGGTAGGAAGAGAAGGGGATATGGGTAATGGTGAAAACACCAGTGAAAACATACTTGGACTCTGCCACAGTGACTAGCCAGACGCAAAGCTTAGACATCACATGACGTCACCTGGCAGAATGGCACCTTTCGACTGGTTAAATGAGGCAGGCCAGTATCCAGAGAGAAGCAGACCAGCGGAGCGCACAACGGTTTCGCATCATTCTGGTTCCAGCAAAGTGGTCAAGATATTCAGAATTGGTAGGGAAAATCTACAGCACACATAGTTTTTGCTGCCAATTCTGAATCACATTGGGTGTTCGGTTGAGTCCCCTAGGAGCCGATCCAGGGTTTTCACTCAGATCTGTCATGTGAACAGAATTCCATTTGACTTAGAACATGGCATCCAGACGCCATGAAAGTTTAAACGCCCACTGACATATTTGACATGCAACGTGTTGCCATATGCAGCCAGGTGACACAGGAATTGGGAGTTTTAGTTTATTTGTGCATCACCGGATCTAAAGGAATGCGTGCGGAGAAATAAGATGCAGTAGATCTCATGATGTTGGACATCCACCTCCAAGCAACCCAACCTAGTGCTGGCACACCTGAGGAAACCCATTCCGTGATGAAGCTTTTCGTCTTCAAACATTGGCTGAGCCTTATGGAAGGTTCGCCCTGAAGCTGTTCGACCATCCATCTGCAGCCATTTCGGTGTCGCCGGATCTGGGGATGTGATCGGGGTATATCGGCATGGTGACGAATCACCAATCGCTGAGAATCACCAAGCTTGGGGGCATGGGCTCAAAAATCCCAATTTTCATATCCAGAGGTCAGACGCAAGTCTGTGTGATCCTTGGCCTATTTCAGCAGATGCTGATGCCACCAAGACAGGTGTAGATCATGGTGGATCAAACATATTCTTCTCTTTTTTCTTGTGGTCCGAAACTGGTCAACCCACATATACCCATATGCGCAAATCCTAGGAGCCTCGCACCTACAGTTTTGGGGTCAGGACGAACTTGGCCCCGCGTTCTCGGGGTGTTGGATGTCGAAGTTGGAGGTGAAAAAGCCAAGACCATCGAGAACCAGTTGAAAAAGACGGGCGCCTCACTGCAGGCAGGGGCCTTGACGAAAGGTGGATGTGCAACACTGAGAGTACCCCTGTTCAGTTAGGAGGAATTAAGGTCGTTGGCTAGGGGCAGCGTACAGGACTGTAATGATATAGTCAGTGTAACCAGCACGGAACTAAACATGTTTATTGTTGGATATTGTTGGAGTTGTTTGATAATTTGTGGCTATGTTTGGCTGTGCAAGTTTAATAAATTTACAATTGTACATTGTACGGTCATATTTGCTTGCTAGAACGGGACCATGATGACCGGGGTTTGTAGTGGAACATTGCAAAAATAATCTTGGCGCAGATGCTGAAAGCCCTGACGCACTACGCGCACGACGGGTCTCCCAACATTTTGCTGCAATCAATTCTTTTGGCTTGGCGTCGCCTCTTGGCTGATGACCTCCCACATGGTTTCCTGTAATTTGAGGAAAAGCCATTGCAAGGTGCAGCAAGTGCATGATAGCTGAAGAAAGCTCTCAATGGGGATCTCCAAAGAATGATGACTTGGGGGGGCCCTTTGGGCAGACAGGTTTCCCGTCATTCACTAGTTAGTGAGAGGGACGTGCTCGACAGGTGCAAGGCAGGGAAAGGAAGCTAGGAACATGGATTGCAAAGAAGCCCTCGCCTGTTGAAGCATATACACTTATATAAGACTTATGTTTTAGGGCAACGTCTACGTTACGGATGCCCGGGCGCAAAACTGATTCTAGATTTTTCCAGATGATGGGATGATTTTGTTTTTTAACGTATCCGAAAACCCACACTACCGCAGTTGGAGGGCCACAACAACCTCCCATCAGCCCTCCACTGAGGGCTCTGCAGTGATGGTAAGCTGGAACCTGAGCTGTTGGTGCCCAACTCACGTCTCTTGGCATGGCACAGTGGCCCAGCCAGGGGGCCCCGGAGGTCCATTTTGGTTCACCCCAGAGATCAAATGCAACAAATGCCGGTTTCTTTATGAGCATGCAACTACAAAATACTACAAATTCCGGTGCCGCTCCTTTGCCCATTTTGAGGCTTTGTTGGGAGTGCGGCCATACTTTTGTTACTTTTAATCCTATGTGTTTTCCTTCAGGTGAAGGACTCGTCAAGGGGTTGGACATCACCACACGCTCCGACTCGTCGCTTTATTCAACCTTGCTGCATCAGATTGGGAGACTGAGGGGATGGGGCCTGTGCGACAGCCGGCGACAACTACCAACAAAACACAGCGCGACCCAAAGGGTGCTCAATATAGAACCCCATAGAACCTTCATGAACCTCCCCTGCCACTTGTATCCCATCCAATATATAGCCATTTTAATCTTGACCGGGTCGTGCTGGAAAAAGTTGCAAAAGGGATTTTTGTGTATGGCCTCGTGCACTGGCAGCTAAAGGCTTTAGGTTCCAAACTTCCAGCAGGTGTTCCTGACTGGACTCCGTCGCAGGTGTTCCTCGCTCCGTTGGGACTCGAGAGTCGGGAACTGCTGAGGTTACACCATGGCCTCCTGCATCTCTGCTTGGGATTTTGCTCTGTGACTTGGAGAACACCGCCCCTGAAGAGGGGGAGAATGGACCGGAACCCTTGAATTGGACCAGTTCGCCGGTTTTTTGCGGGGACCTTGTGGTGGCGGCAGTGGCGAGCGAACATGAACGAACATTGGACTCTTGATCATAAGAGGCTCCATTCGATTGAACAACCTCTGTTCACGTGGGGGGCTTTGATTAACAGTCTACATTACTTAGGCGTAGGACATGCAATTCTTGAGGATCCGCTTTCGCTGAGCGGCATCGCCACGGCACCACACTGGAGATTGACTTGCTAGAATCATTGGATCATAGCCCGCAGGTGCCCACAGATGTTTGTTTTTGTCACTCGTTCCGTTTCACTGCATTGGGCAAACACCTCCAGGAGGCCCACTCCAATTCAAATTATATAACTTACTGTATATATATATATTTTTTTATCTTACTATTCTCCATAACTTTCCAATTGTTTTGGTTCGTTTGGGCCACTAGGGCCAGGGTTGGTGCAGGCTGCAATGTAATCGCTTGTTTGTCCCCCAGACCTATTCGTCGCTTCGTCCAGGACGAGTGTGGCGATACTGGGCTGGCACAACGTGGCACGGCGCTCCTACTTCCAAAAGACATGGACCAAGTTCTTCCGCCCCGAGGACGTAACACGGCACAAGTTCATCACAGGTCTGTAAGGGACCTACAAAGAGGTGGAAGCTGGAGAAGTGGAAGGCTATTTTGCAAGTCTTTCATGGTGTTTCATGGTGAGGTTTGTGACCATGACCATTCCAACGAGTCATCCAATGATACGAGTCATCTCTTCGCACAGAGCTGTCATCGCGCGGCCTCGGCGGTCCGTGGTGAGCGCCGCTGAGGATTTGCGGCCGTTGGTGACCGCCTGGAAGAAACAAGTGCAACGAAGCCATGAGGTGGAGCAGAAGAGCGTCAAGGTGGACAAGAGCCGTGGCCAAAGGGCTTGGGCCAGGGTGACCCATGGGGACCATGCTGACCCATGGTGACCCTTTAAATTGCTGCATTGTTTGAGGCAAAGGATGACAAAACACTGGCGTGTTTCACGTGTTCTCCTCTAAATCTTCCAGAGTCACGCAGAGGCGTGGCCGATCCACGGACTGGCTTCGTAGAAAACCGGGAGATCTATGGCTATGGGGCAGGTTGCCCAAAAAGGGTTGGGCATCAAGCTGGTGCGGCATGGCCTAGCTGAAGTGAGAGGAGGAGACCTGAGACGTTTGGATCACAATAGCCCTACTTAACGCACCAACAATGAGCCAAAGAGCCCGGAACCTGAGAGGCTGAGCAAAGGGCAACTTAGTGAATAAGCCTGGATCCCCGACATGTATACAGGAATCGAACAACGATGAGGTATTTTTCTTGGGCCCCGCTAGTATGGAAGAACAGCGAGCTGTTGAGCTCGTACTCAGGAAGGAGACTGACATCTCCCACTTCATTGCTTTGCTGTGCTTTGTCTACTGGTCGCTCGGAGGCGGTTCACAACGAGCACCGTGCGGTTTGACGGTAAGGGGCGCCCTCTTGCAGACGCGGGGTTTCGCGCGTTTGCGAACGACCGAGAGAACGCTTCACCGAACGCGCGGAGGCTTCGCGATTCCCAGTTGGCGAACGGAGAGAGGTCAGATGCCTGATTCGTTTCATCCAATTCGTTGGCGGCAATTCCGTGGTAATTCAGCACACGTTAAATCTGGTTCAAGTATGTTCTGAGGCGATTGAAGTTGAAGACCCTTGGCTGCAGTGGCAGATTTGCAGGTCTAGACAGTCAGCCCCAGCTATGCATTACAGTTGCGCGGCTTTGCATGTTCCTCATTAATTACGGTCTTCGGACGGTATGAAGGAAGTCCACCTCGTCCATTTTGCTGCGACTTGTGTCACTTTCGTCCCCCCTGAGATGTTGCATCTTATGCGTCACATGCATCCTGGGGAGAGAGACGGGCTTTGAATGGCTTTGAATCTTATGAAACGATATGAAACGTATACACCTGTTGTCACAACTCTTCGGAATGCCAATGGTTTCAACATGGTCCACAGGATCAGCAATCAAGAGGGCTTGCGGTAGGATGTTTCAGGTGCATGTTTGCTAGGCCAAGCCGAGCCGTGGTGAGCTACGTTCCGAAGTTGGCCACTTGGCGCGGAACACTCCTCCTATTGAAGATCAGAGCGGTACACGTTGAACCCTGGACTTGGGAATCAACAGCGTTGTTTCTTCACATGCTGGGCATGAGTCTGGGGAGGCTAGGCAAATCGACATGTGAGCTCCTACCGTAAACATGTTTCTTTGCATATGATATGATTGCCCTATCTTGGCTTATAGACAGTCTGGGATGCTGGGAAGACATTGTTGGATCAGTTGAGTTTGACTGCACATGGCAGCCTCCGAGCTCTAAACTACGTCGAACTCGCGGCTCCCCAGATGCTGCGGTCAACCTTTGGTGGTCTTTTTCTTGGTGGTGAAGTGTCCTGCTTCCTGGAGTCAAGTCTGAAGGAGCCCGGTTTGTCACAATTTTGGCTGGTATATGTATGCACACACGCAGAGAGAAAGAGAGAGAGAGAGAGATCTGTTAGTGACCCCCACACAACCGGGCTTCGCTGCATGATTCATCCCATTTCATGCTTCGCCCCAGGCGCGGCTTCAGGCCGTGGCAGTTCAGAAGTTGGCAGAGACCCAGGCGTCGATGTTTCGGAGATTTCGTTCTAATAGCTTCTTGCGGCCAGGAGCCCCGTTCGTAGCGTCCGATCGCTCCGTTCGTAGCGATGCCCTTTGCTCCGTTCGTAGCTTCTTGTTCCTACCAATTCGGTGGATGATGTCTCCAGTAAACCAACGGCAGAAACAGTTCCGCTGAATGAAACTCCACCCTGTCAGACGGACATCCCTTGAGATCACACCAGTTCTGGCAGGTCCGTGTTTGCTCAAGAAAGCTAGGTCTAAGTTCATGTCGATGTTCTCATTATTCACACCATGTAGGTATGGATGAAGATGAATGAAGATCGATGAAGACGAGCATGGATCCAGCCCATACATGCATGATCCATGACTCTGGATTTATGTCTTTTCGCGGTCGCCTCCCTTTCGGCGGCACCACAGGTGGAATCGGTTTGCCTGCTCATTTTCCATGCCTGGCGCATGTCGCCCCTTCTCGCGGAGACCAGCCACGAGGAGGGTGATGAGGCTGTTGGGGATCAGGTTCACTCACCCATGTGACGCTGCTTTGGAAGGCATGATTTCCTCAGGGTCGGAGTTTGTCTTGTTTTACTTTGCTTGGTGGCCAGTGAGCATCTAGGATTTGTCACTTGAATCTCAGAGAGTCATGTCCAACCTGGTCGAGAGCTAAAGTTTGCTATGTAAAAAATGCTCTCTCAACAACAACTTGCTCCCTGTGTGTCGTTAGACAATATATATATATATATATATATATGTAAGTGTTTTGCATGTCTAAGTTCGATATTTCGTGACTAGAGTTGACATCCGGGGGCCCTTGAAAAGACTGCATTGCGAATCTCTGTTGAATGTGTCCGAAGTTGGAAAGTTAATTTCTTTATCATCCAGGTCGTTTGCTTTCTTCAATTCACCGTGTTGTCCTTGATGTCAACCGGGGCTCAACCGTTGGCACTCTCCGGCCAGGCCCCCAAAGCCCATGCCACCGTGCGACAGATGGCCGTCCCTGGGCGGTCGTCGAATCCGCCGGTCGAGACCAGAGAGTCGGTCGCCAGAGTGAAAGAGGGTCGGTCGAAGACAAAGGGAGGCCTGGCCGTTCGTGATGTTTGAGGTATACCCAAAAACAATCCGTTCGCATGTTTTTTCGTCAGACACGGAGGCCAATCATTGGGATAGAATTGGATTCATAGCACGTGTTTGGATTCATATATAGGTATACTAGTACCATCTAGTACCTACAAATCAGTCACTCGCAATTCTTCCAACAAATCTATTTGATTGACGACGGCGCGTGACTTGGGCGCGTTCACCTGCGAAGAGTTGAATGAAGGGTCCATGTGCAGTTTTTACTAGTTTTTAGATGCGAGGCCTTGCCCAACACTCTAAATGTCTGAAATTGCGATTAGATTAGAGTGTCAAGATCCAAATGCATCAGGGTGTGTCAAGGTCTGATTTGGCAATATCCAAATTGATCAGCAGGCTTGGAAACCATACCTGAGGTTCAGCAAATCACTAGGGTCCTAAGGACCAAACTAAGACCACGAGCGGTTTGATTTTTGTTGCGGTTTTGTTCAGGTGATGCAATACGTTTGTAGTCCTGATCCTTGGAATGCTCCCATGTTAGTCATTGCCTCAAATGCTTGGGTGCCAAAGAATAGGATGTGAACAGAAGCTTTCTTGCTGTCCAAGGAATCCAAAAAGAAGGAGTTGGAGGACGGTGTCCACATGGAATTGTCACTGTGCACGCTTTGTCTCGCTTGCCGTAATGTTTCGACATTGCTTGAGCTCGGTCACCATCCCAGGCAATACTAGAATGCCAAAGAACTTGTAACATTAATAGCTAGAGGTGGAGGCTATCAATTGCAGTATATAACAACACACTCCAAACCATTGAGAATTGAGACGAATGGGTTGTTTCGCTTGTTTGCTGGATGGCCTCAGGATGAAAAGTCCAAGGCGGGACCAGGAAGTCTAAGACCCGAAGAACTGCCACGTATGGAAGAACGGCCATGGCTCACAGTCGGCAATTTGTGCACCCACATGGGATTTCCTTGTATTGTTGTCATTGATTCACTGCCCAACTGCCCAACCAGTTTTTTTTGCACTAATCAAACGGAGGTTAAACACTCCTTTGACCTGCAAGGAATATATATGTCGTTTAGGACACAATTTGCCTCTCAACATCCAAGTTGAAGGTGGAGACCGTGACACGCAATTGCAGAATGGTGGCGTGGTTGGGCAGCTTCCACCGGCCGTATTGAAAACCATCCGTGCTACTGTGGAAGGCCTTACTGCTAACGGACACTGAACACAGGTGGCAGCCTTGGAGAAAGACCTCAAGGACTTGCAGGCGCGTCGAGCGGGACAGGTTGACTGGGTTGACAACTTTGCTCCATTGGTCATAGCATGAGAAACATTTCACGGCTTCGCATGGCTTGAAGGGGGCACCGCGACAGTCGGTTTTTGGACAGGTTTCAACCAAGCCGATGTGAAGGGAAGGTGTTTCAACCAAGCTGAAGGTTGCTTTTTGTGCATCCGGGAAGGTAGCTTTTGGACTGGTTTATATATAGATTTTTGCACATGTGTGCACACGATTGACCAAGCTGATGCAATTCGTCTTGCGGGACCCTCAGCTCGGCGATGGTTTGCATTGGGGCCAGCTATCAAGTGGATAGAGGAACCCAAAGCACCGGTTTTCTGAGAGCAATGCTGCAGATGTAGGATGTAGGAGAATAACTCCTTTACCAACCGCAGGGAATGCAAGGATTGCTGATTACTGTCCAGGTGGCCTGATGTATGGCGGTGATAGATAGTGGTGCCAAGTTCTTTTCTGCAGCTGGTGCTGGGGGCTTGCAACCCTGAGCATCAAAGTATCCTAGCAATAATTAGCGCTTTGGCCGCTGAATTGTGTGCCTTGTTGAGCCTGCTTTGGCTCTATATCTGAAGCAGGATCAGAATGCCGCTGTCCAACGCTCAGTTGTGTGGGGATGTTATACATTGTTATACACGTGCGTGTGTTTCGCCTCATCGTTGAAAGTTAAAAGACACGATGTGATGCAATAAAGACGTTGTTTTTTTCTGCTCACGTTCTTCGACAAGCGCGGTGCCTTCAACATGGACATGAGATCGTTTGAAACCTCGACTGATGATTTGTCATCACTCTTCCAAAATCATGCGCAGGATAGTGACAGCGCGTTATCAGGTTCAAATTTGCTTCATCCTTTTTCGATATATCATGGGTTTCAAGGTCTGAGGCTTGCACTTGACCAACCCTCTTGCTGAGGCCAATGCGAAGGTGGAAAAACTGGAAGCAGAGGCCGTGTCGTGGGGGGGTTGGAAGCTTTGGAACTAGGCGAGCCAGGAACCTTCATGCAGAAAGAAAATGGTCAGAAACTGAAAGCGACAGGCGTTGGAAAGGATTTGCTGTGTTGAATTAATTATGTGGTTTCGAATCTCTGGATGAAACAGTGGGGGGCAGCAACAGAACGGAAGCGCTTTGCGAGAACTATAAAATACATAAAATACTCTTTCTATTTAGCCATCCCAGGGTTGGGTGCCGGGTGCTGGACGCTTGGGGAAGTCCTATGGTGGTGAAGATTGGAACATGCTTCTCAAGTTCCTGGAAGCACCACGATGTCACGATGCCATGTTATTTCAAGCTTTGGGTCAAACGCAGGTGCACTTGACACGGGATCTCAGATCATCAAATCTCGGTCACAACGCGGAAGTGAATCCCTTTCGCACCAAATTCCAATTCGCTCACCGGTCACAGGCCAACAAAAAGTCCTGTTGCTGCATTGTCCAATGATCAGCGACCAGCTGGGAGGCCAGGTCTGGGGAGGTCTGGGACTTCAAGTAACGTACCCACGCTACTTAGACTATATATTTGTTATATTAGACCCCCAAATAGGTATATGAGCGACGGACAAAATTATTGGTTGACTTATTTAGTCACGGCATGACCCTAAACCTATGTTGAGGGCTTCGTTTCTGTGAAAAACGATATGGTCCCCACCAAAAACAATAATCTTATTAAGACGTAGTTTGTGGTTACAATATGAGTTATTGCATTTGCATGTTTATTTGAGCATATTTGAGCTAAACCGATGGGCACAACTTTTCACCAATGATAACCCCAGACAACTTCCCAAACGATAAGCAAACGATAACCTAAATGTCACGCCAGTCACTCCGTAGACCTACTTCTCCACATTACTAGTGACTAGTGTTTGTTCATGGGCCGAGCTGCTAGGTCCCCGCTTATGTGTTGTGATCCTTGCACAGCCCAGTGCCACAAGAACCCAAGTGCATAAATCAAGTGCTGTGCCATTCCTGTGCAGAAAGCACTGTAGGCCTCTAAGGCTCTAATCTGAGGTTGTGAGTTATATTTTGTGTTTTTTTCTATGTGCCGGTATGCTATGCTAACTGCGGTTTGGAGAAACATTGGAGAACGATATGGACCCCACCAAAAACGATAATTCATGTCAAATGGTATTTGGCTATACAAGTAATTTTGTCCGCTGCTCATATAGAAGAATAAAGCCCCTTTCAACATGTATTGGACACCATTTCTATCTATTTGGGGACCACTAATATAACACATTTTTATGGATCCCATTTTAGGTCCAAAAATTTGGAAAGTAGTGCTCCCGCTGACATGAGTCTCGACCTTCTCCTGTGAGTTCCACAAATACCACCAGTTAGCTCACTCAAAGCTCTCCCGAGGCTCGGTGAGATGTCGCAGTTGGCCTCCAACCTACTCGCGATGCCCTCCAACTTACAGGCGACGGCCTCCAAGCTAATAGCAAGATTCAGTTTGAAGGGACTCATGATCACTCTACCTCAAACTTGGCCAACTGTGGCTCAAGAGAATGTTGGACCCAAACAGGCTGGCCAGGCCAAGGCTCAAAGACGACGGGATGTGCCCATGCCAGTGGGCCCCCATACAAAACCATTGTATAATTGTATAGACCCTTTCCTCGGGCCAATGCCTGATCGAAACCCATCCAACAGTGGGAATCCTTTGGCTTTAGGCGTCGTTAGTGGCCAAGCTCCCTTTTGGCTTGACAGCAACTTGCCATTGTGCAACATTTAGGCCAAATTCCCGCTCCAAACTCGAGCGGGACACTCCAAGGGCTAGTGTTTTAGATCCATTCAGCAGATGATCCTACCTGAAAAGGGGTTGACATTTGGGCTCCCCTCCACCACTGTCATAAATTCTCTAGAGTTTCATGTCAGGGCATGTGGCCATCCCTGGTTTATAGAAAAGCAGTCGTGGCTCCCTCATTTTGAGACCACCCATTCGATTGATTCGAGCACTTGGGTAGTACTTGGGTCGCACCGCAGGATCGATTTGGGCGAACTATGTGTTTGGACCAGTGCTTGGCTTTCCCAAAACGGGAATCAGCTGGGCGCCCACCATCGCAGCGTGCGAATGATCGCGAGCGCTGAAAGAGAATGAGTGCATTTGGACGTCTCCTGAAGCTTCCATTGGGATACCTTTTTTATGACTGACATACGCTGTGGAAGTGGGAAGTTGGGCTCGTTGGACATGATTCGTCACACCTTCTCCGACCCTTTGTGACTCTTTTTTTGCCGCTCTCGAGACTCTCGATACAGCCAAGAAGGTGTTTGGGCTGATGGAACGCTGTAGGGGGCGCTGCTTGTCACCACTCCGAGCAGGTATAGAGACAACGTGTTTTTTTGCTTGGGACAAATGTTCTATGGTTTCTCCTGCCAACTTTGAGGAGCAACATCCATTGGCTAAGTCTTCTTTGGTTCGTGTACCCAAGGCCGAATTGAACCAACACTCATGTACAGGGCAGACTAGAACAGGAACGCTAAATGTAGTGTTTATGGGATGCTTATCATTACGGGAAGGATTGCGAAGGATTGTTAACATTTCACAACATTTCGCAAGTGGTTGCAGAGCGGGCTCAGGGCTGCTTGGACCGGTGCAGGCCAAGGATGACATGGTAAGACCATCGCTAGGATCCTCATCGTGAGGGATCTACCACATCAGTCCAATTAATAAGTTGATTGAATGAAACGTCCGCTCGGTGAGCCAAACATAGAAGCCAGACATGTGCCGAAAGGTTGTTGATTGATTGGGCCATATTCGGCCAGTACAACGAACATCCATGTCGACAAGTATTTTGACGTTAGTCCTGCAATGTCAGTTTACAGCTGCAGATGTTCCCGATGTTCCCGGCGAACGGGTCCATCAGCACCACCAGCCAACCAGCTTTGAGGTCAATTGATGAATCAACACCCTTGGTGAATCAACACATGCCACAGCCATGGCAATCCTCGCGATCACTGCTGGGTTTGGTGGGTGTGGCACACGTTGCCGCTTTGGGTGGCCGCTTTTGGGATGCTTGGTAGTTAGTCCAAGTAGTTTGACTAGGTTTGGCGAGTCCGAAACAAAAGAGTTGTCTCGTAGTTTGCTTCCTTTTTGTTCGTGTCATTTGTGTCACGTGCAGAGGCCAATTCCGCAAGCGTCCCAGAGGAAAGGATAATCATTTGGTGGGTTGTCTACCGGTGGTTTGAACTGGCAGAATGTGTCACAAGAGTCGCGAGATATGCAGCAGAGAAACTCGCATACAGTATATGCACTTCCTTTAAAGGGATGCACATGTTAGATTCTTTGGCCGTGCCAGTTGTTGGCCCTAAGAAATAAACACATTAATGACAGAACCCCAACTTGTGAATGTTTGAAAGAAGTCAGCAACTTACACCCATCTAGATCCAAATTGCTCCCAAAATCTGAGGATGGGGTCCTGGACAATTCTCCATGTGCAGATCGCTCCGCCCCTTCCGCGGAGCTGCGCGCAGCTGCACTGGGCATGTTGGACCACGTGGCGCGACCGCGCTGGACGGAGGCGCTGACCAGCAACGTGCGAAGGCAGTTGGAGGAAGGTCAGAGCCATTGCGGACTTACACGTGGCTGGGTCAATTGGTGGGAGTTCCAACTGCTTAGCTTTGCAACACATGTTTTCCAGGTTTAGTGAGCTGGAAACCGTTTTGCAACGAGGACTTGGCAATACGAGAGCTTCTCAATTGAAACACAAGTCTAGAACAGAGAAGTTCAAAGTATATACTGTATATAGATAGATTAGATTAGATTTAGATTGGAACAGATAGATAGGTAGATAGATAGATAGATATAGCATGATGATGAATGATACAGATATATTACAGGTATACGGTATACATATACATATATATATAATATATGGAAACCAATCCGGCATAACCGGTGCTTTCTGGATCCCCTTTGCTACTATTAATGTGTCAAAGAGCCAACCTTGGCTGCTGCTGGATGACCAACAGGATTGGAACTTATGGTTATGTTTACGGTTCTTGACATGAATCAATGAATGAGGCCGGGGGCCGGGGGTATCTTTGTTTTCCCTTAGAGTCCTTAGAGTCTTGCACCTTTCAAGTTCTCCATGCTCAAAGCTCAGACCTCGAGGTTTCTTAGCCCAGCTGATCCTCCTCATCAATGACGCCCTCAACGTCGAACCCTCCGACGAAACACTCACTGCAGTCTCGCTGGATGATTGGATCGAGCAGCGAGTGGAACGGCCCCTGCCCAGCTTCTTTCGCTTGGCCTCCAGTGACGTGGCAGCCATGTGGTTGGAGGGATATTGGAATGTCACCCAACAAGACCTTTACATACCTTCGCCGCATTTTTTTTGTGGGGGCAGTGGTTTTCCAACGGAAGAATGGAGACCCTTATAGGTAGGATTCTGGGCTGTGCTTGAAGATACTCAAGTATGAAGAATGGGCTCGAGCATCAAAAACATGGACACCCACAGAAGCGATACCTGCTCTTGGCCCCTTGGACTTGCAATCGGGCTTGGGGGCACCGTCTACCAGTCGGTCAGTAAGAAGAGAAGTGGGGAACTTCCAAGTGAACGGGAAGAGTTGTGCGGCCATATTTGGAAGTGTTCCATAGCCGTTTTGGACACTTCTCCTGCGGTCCTAGTTCGGTAGATGGAAGAGGTCCACCAAAAGCCAGGCTTCATCCCGGAGGTCTTGCAAGAAGTGAACCTGGCGATTGAGCGCTGGGTTCGCTCCAGGGACATTCAGGTTGAGAGATATGAGTCCTGCGCCTCGTCAGGGAAGTGGCGACGGGTGAAGACTGTGAGGACAGGATTCGGTCCTTGGACAGGTTCTGAGGGACACAAGCACTAACAAGAAACTGATCGCACTTGATGTGCAACAGTTGGAGGCGGGCTTTGTGCGTCTTTAATTTTTTGTTGTCTCCCCTCTCTTGCTCATGGGGGTAGCACTAAATTAATATTCCAGGGGGTACGTCGATGGGTGGAATCATGTTTCTGGAATCATGTTCCCAGAATTATTTATTGACAGGGGGGGTCATACTAAATGATTCCTGAGTTGATGATTGCTGTGTTCTTCAATGTCATGTCTGCAGACTTCAGGAAATTGTTCTGACCATGGATGACGGTCAGAATCAATATCACCAACCCCTCTCACCCCCCCAGAATCATTTAAAAATTTTCCTGGGGGTTGACGTGGTCCCCCTTGAACGCATCCCCCATTATTTATCCATATATTATATATATGTACGTGTTTGTATATGTTTGCATTGTTTTTCAACAATAGAACTTCTTGGCATGAGCACCCAGCTCTGTGTGGCCCAAGACCTGAGATGGAGCAAGGAAAGCACGCACGGAACGTCGGAGAGGTCAAGGGAACCGCAGCTTGGTTTCCGCAGGTCATGACGTCCCCGACCTGGGGAATGATGCCATGGCCGTGAATGATGACGAAAAGCGACTTGTTTTGGAAGATGGGACCGGATGCTGGTTTGGGGATGTTTGTTGCATGCAGGTTACGACCAATTGGCACCGGTTCGCTGGACCAATTTGCAAAAAACGATGAATGCTACTTGATTTGCAATGCTGCAGTTTTAGGCTAGTGTATGTGTAGAACATTCATGGGTTCGGCATCATGACCTACACACCATCACTATCCATCACTGAAAGCTACTTATAAGTACCCTTGGGAACGCGCATCAGACATCGAAGTTGTGGAAGCTGGTCTATAAGTTCCATTTTGCATCCAAAGATTTGCGAAGAAACAGACGATGTTGGCGCATCTTGGTATACCAACCGTTCTCATTCACCAACATATGTTCTTTTGCCCCTCCAATTTGAGAGAATCGGCCGAGTTATTTCAGGATCACATGACTGAAAACAGGTCCATACTAGCCACAAGACTTGAAAGGGTCTTCTGATTATCCCACACGTTCCACTTCGCATCCGCGCGGCGGTCCGCACGGAGTAGATCGTTCAGATCGTTTCTTGGAACGACGGGTTGCGGCGTTCAGATCGCTGCAGGTCCAGTGGGATCACCTTTTGGTCCAAGTCCCTCTTGTTGGCGCACGAGATCGTGTGCCTCGAGCGGGGGCTTCTTGCTGGGAGCAAGGCGTCACCGATATCATAGAGCCATCCATATCCATCCATGTATGGAAGAGTTCCTTACATTGACCCCATGTGTAACACACACCCAATGCAGGTGTATAACTATTTCATGGATGGTCAGGGTACTGAGGTAAGGATGCTTTTGGATGCATGGCCCCCACAGCCCTGAACTGCGGTCGTCCGAAGAGAGGCGAACCGCCAGGTTCGGCACCCGGAGGTCCCGACCGAGCTCAACGGTAAGTGCTATGCGATGGGGTAAGAGACTAGAAAAGACTGGCTGTAATCATGCTGGATATCCTCGGAATGTAAGGTATGGAACACTCACTAGTATAGGTATGGCAGCCTGGCACGTGTCCCGCTGCCAGTGTAAATCTTAATTTTGCCCAAAAGTGTTCCTGAAGTTTTGGCGGTTTGTGGCCAATAGAAGGCACGAGAAGGAGACCTTAATTGACATCAACTCAAACTCAAACATTGAATTCCTTGTTGCACTTCTGACGGTCATGCCCCGTTGTCCCCATTCCATCATGCTCTAGCCGGAGCAGAATTCCGAGTCAGAACAGAAAGGGGAGCTAATTAATTAATGAAGTTCAACAAGGCGCGGCATTTGGCAGCAGCAATTTGACGGGAACCGGTGCACCTGCAAGCATGCAAAAGCCGCCATTGTCCTAATAATTTCCATGATATTGAGGGAGACCATTGTGGACTCCACAATGAGATAGTGCCCCTTCAAGTACGGTTTAACTTTTCGGTGTGACTGGACTAGTCATATCCAAAGTCGAAGAATTGGTGGTTGGAGGCCATCGCTACTAGAGTGGAGGTCATCGCTAGTAGGTTGGAGGCCATCGCTACTAGAGTGGAGGCCATCGCTATTAGGTTGGAGGTCACCTCTTTCTCTTGAACCCTCCGTAGTTGGAACACCTTCTGAGGCGTGCGGGAGCCTTCGAATGGACCAACTCTGCGCGCGTAGCCTTTTCCGCGGGTTTGATTGGCCCGGCCAAGCGAGCGCAGTGCCCTTCAGGGGTGATGGCAATGAAGCTGATACGTGCCTGGGATGGTTGCTGACTGTTGGTTTGGCGTGAACTGAAGAGCTTGGGATAGTTCTACTTGCAGTTGACCACATTTGCACCACGTTTGGCTATATGTTTGGCTTGCCAAAATGCGACAGGAACCAACTGCTGCTGACCGCCAAAAACTCCAAACCATGAATCAATATGAGCAACCGGCATTGCACGTGCAATGATTAATTTCGTAGAGCGGTCGTTTTCATCTCAGGAATTGAGCTAAAACCTGCCAAAGCGACAGGCCCCCCTGAAAAGCGACAGGACCATATTTCCACAGTTTGTGGATGATATGTTCAGCTATGTTGACGTAGCTAAAACCTGCACGAGCATCGCCCCCTCATAGGCGATCACCTGCTCGTGCATCATGCCCTTTGCTTCATACGTTTTGACAGACGCTCATATGGCTCCATATATATATATACTAGGTTCTAATGACTAAGGAGTTAACGGAGGTACGTCAAAATTAGAGCGTTCCAAGTCATCAGGCAAAGTAAATCTGGTAGAAAGCTAGAAAGCACGTTTGGCCTAAGTCATCAGGCACAATATTGCAAAACAGGACTTCTAGAGCAGGTTTGAAAAAATCCTTAAAACGATGGAAAACAAGGATTCCGGGACAATGACTAAGGACCTGTGCTGGAAACCTGTGTTTGAAAACTGCCATAGGAACCAAGGGGTGTTGAAAAAGGTGCCAACTGCTCATGTCATGATGCATGTGATTTCTCTCTGACACATTGATTTCAGCATATGTTTTTTTAATTTTTTGATTGCTCCCTCAGGGGGGGTAAAGGCATATAGACACGCCTTTTGACCAGGCACATGACTCAGGAGTTGGCTATCCCAGCTGACTATGTCACTAGAACCGTAAGTCCTATGTCACTAGACCCCAGTATATATATAATATATATAGTAGCTCCGAATTTTCACTACGAGCAACCAGAGGACCGGCGCAAATCCTCAAGCAAATAACGAGGCTGCATTGGACATGATGAGGAGCAGAAGCAGGAGGAGGTTTATTCTTTGGACCAAGAGGCCCAAGAGCTCCTTTTGTCACTCGACGTGAGACTCAGTGGAAGGACCGATGAGAATTGGAAGGTCCTCAGTGAAGCAAAAAGGGGAACGAATGAATCGGAGGGTTTCCGGGGAGCTCCAAAAAGCCCATCTTAACTGCTGGACTGCTGGCTCAAGTTCGTACAATGTTTGTTGCCCCCTTCGCTGTTAGGTGATAGTTTGATAGATCCATGTTCTATGAGCTTTCAGGGCGTCAACATTCACCCACATTTCGGGATGCTTTCTTTGAACGCTGGCGGTGTGAGCATCTTATGCTGATGCTGATGTTTTTGCAAAGTGTTCGTGTATGAGTGTGATTGATGTTTGCCATTGTGTAGATGTCAAGGATCAGGTTTTCAGTTGTTAGAACTCGGGTCTTTGGGCCCAGGTGTTCAGATGCTGCAGATGTTTTGGATGGTCGCACCCACTCAGGTGGGGCCAAGCCAACTTGTCCAAGCTGCTGTACAACGCTTGGCCACTTTGGACACTTGGCTGGCCTTTGACACGGGTTTCCCGCACCCGATCTAAACCATTTGAAGCCACATTTCCTAGAATGAATCAGAGATGGTGAGATAAATGGGAGATGCCGAAGCTTGCTCCAGTGATGGTTACCATCTCAGGAGTTTGCTTTCCCTACTGAGCGCGCAACGTCATCACAGCTTTGTACTGACACCTGCTGAGCCCGAGCCCCGCCTGGACGAAGCTCTTTTGCTCCAGGCTCGGGCGGGCCGTCTACTGGTAGCATCTAGTAACTAGTAACGAATGGCATCGCTACTAGGAGCAAGAACCCTACTAGTATTATTAGTAGTTCTTGCAAAGCTGAAATAGAAGCAGGTCTTAACCCAGATGACTATGAACCTATAGAGTTGAGGGAGGGCTTGGAACTCTCTGGACCATTGGAGCATGGGGCCATGGAGTGCATCAAAACCGCTCCACCCAAACTGCCATGTCGCCCAGTCAGTCAGCGTTCTACTTGGCGTGTTTGGTCCACTCCTCCCAATGCACCCACGGACCGGAGTGTTTCTAAGCCGAAGAGCCGCGTCTCCACGCGTGGAGACGCCGGGGTCACGGCGGGAGGCCTTGGACTCCGGGGAACGACCCTTTGGAGTGGTCTTTGTGAGCAACGTCGGAGCGGAGCTCGCCAGTGACGACCTGGCCGAAGCTCAGAGAATCGACGGTTCGGAACGGCGGAACGAAACAACCAGGGAACCCACGCGGATCCCGTGGTGAGCGGTGGGTAGATGCACCCCTTGGGAAACCCAGTTTACTTTGCGGGGCATCTTTGAGATACAGTATTCCTTCATTGAGATGAGGAGCTGTGCCAGTAAGTCATCTGAGTCATACTGTAGCTACCATTTTTTGGTTAAGTTATATAGATTGACGGAGCCAAAGCATAAAGAATCGGACACCCAAGAATAACGCCACTTTCCCCTAGATCCCCCCTAGGTCTAACTTCCAGTGGATATCCCATTTTCACAAAGCTGGTTCCACTCTTAAACCCTTCTGAGAAACCCTCACCAAGCTGGTGAGAGGCTTGGCTCCTTGAGGCATGGCTCGCGAGATTGAGACGTGCCTTGCTGTCCAAGGGAACCGTTGAGCATCAAGTGCTGCTGGTCGTGCCGAAGTCTATCAAGTCCTGTACAAAGTTTGCATGGCGTCCTGGTGCAGATGCTGTCAAGTTTTCTATGGAGTAAAAGACATGTAAAACATGGTAAAACCAGCACTTGCAGTGCCTAGCTATAAGATGCGTGTGTTCTGGATATATAATACATTTGGTTTTTGTCCTATTACCTGTAACAGTCGGTACACAATTACTGTATGTTAGAAAAAGGCAAATCATCATTATCCACTGTTTCTGGGGATCTTGCCAAGTACAACATAAAGCCGTCATGTTTTTGGGGATGCCCCAGATGCGATGCAAGCCCATGAGGGAGGGAGGGCCTCTATGACTCGTCATAAGCTTAGAGAGGATGGCGATGATTTGCCGTCCATCATTTTTGTGCCTGCATGTGAACAACCTGGAACCTTGTTTGGAGATGGGTTCCCGACTGCAGTAAAATTGATCAACTGAGGATTCAGACTAGGGATTCGCCATCAAGCAGCATGCATGAGGGCCATCCTTTATTTCTCTCTCTCAACGTAGAAGCTTCAGGCATGATTAGTGATGCTCCTCCTCAACTTTAGATGTGGCTTCAACATCCTCCATCTAACCCCGATTTGGCGCCAAACATGTGCCCAACCCATCGCAGATGGCTGCTCGGCACTGCCCAACCCACAGGTTTGGTGCTTCGGGGCCACAATTGCACTGCATTTGGTCTCAAGAGGGTGCCTCGCGCGAGTTGGATGCGCAAGGTTTGCTCTTGTTCATCTTGAGCCGACTCTCGAAGCACGTCCATTGGACGACATTTTCGAGACGGAACAACAAGCGAGCGCAGAGCCTGGCGCAGTTGGAAGGCTGGTTTCCTTGAGGGGGTGAGGTGAATTTGTTTGGGGGCATGGAAATTCCCATGAAGAAAATGGGCATCCACCCGTACCTAGCATCACAAGAAACCACATTTCTGGGCCACAAGATTATATTATACAACATTATGCATACCAGCTAAACCAAAAGTGCTAGAATTGTTACACCGTCTATTTTTGAAAAATACATACTCAAAAAAGAAGAAATATTGCTTCTTTAAGTAAAAGTTACCTTTTCACGAAAGCTAGCGAAGCTAGCTGGAGTTACTCTTGCGATAGCAAGGTTTCTTTCGATCGGGTGCAAATCCTAACCCCTGATCTTTCAGGTCGAAGCCCCCCCCCTCCCCCC